GTCAAAGCCCATTTTATTTATAGCACCTAATTTATGATATCTATTTTTTTCCCTACCAGTTCATGCTTGTAACTCGTTTCAATTTTTTAAACTCTTTTTTATATAACTATTTCAACTACTAGACGTTAGCTTTTTTTTAACTCTATTTTTATAACTATTTTATACTATTAGACGTTTTATATTTTTAGAAATTGTATTTAGCAGGGCCCCTCTGGATACCAGCCACTGTGCTGAATGGGCCACCCTGCATAAATAAAGTTTTACTTACTTACTTACTATTGGTTAGAGAAAACATTTGAAACCGTAAATCTTTACTAAAGCGTGTTCCTTTTTAATGCAATTTATAAGTGACGAGATTTTAATCAGTTGTGAGCTCCTGCACACTGCTCGCACGCACTAACTACTGAGCTACTGAGGACGTCTGGCCAGCTGAATCATTTTATTGCGGTTCTTTAGGGGAATATTTGTTTACAATATCTGCCTCATTAGCATAAGTGATTCAGTTTCTGATAGAGCTACGAACACATTAGTTCTGAATATTGGAAGGGGACAACAGGATTATCTGTCCCAAGAATTTGATCCCGATGTATTTAATACTTTTTGTGCGAAGCAGGTTTAAAAACTCAAAATTTTACAAAGAATGTATGAGTTCAATAGCGCTTTTGCCACCCAGACATTTTGCAGTTTTTGAAAGCCTATTTCTCCTCGAATATTGCACCCAAAGAGCGAAAAATTTCACCAATTACTAAGTTTCACAAGTTCGTTAAATGTTTGTAGTCAATTCATGTAGAGCGTGGTGCCTTCTCTGCGTAAAGTCGTATGTTAGTGAGGACAAATGTAAACAATGACGTCAGCAAAGATTCTCCTATACATGTAGTTTTTGTTCGTCATTTCGTAGACTTTGGAGGACAAACTACAATCTCAGAGATCCGAGCTAGACGACTTAAAGGAAGATATGCTCAAGAAGAATTTAGACGTAGCTTCGGTTGAGAAAACCTTGGAAGAGGCTGGAGTAAAACTCGAGGAGGTCAATCCACAAGCACAAGATATGGACATTGAAATTGAATTTGTGGTTGAACAGTTTAGCGGGTACATTATTGCCGTGCAGGAGTGGGGTGCGTGGTTTGGTCCTGCTTTGGCCACCTTGGAGAGATGCAGGGAACCATACAAGAACAGGAGCAGTCTCGAAGAGATGAACAACGAGCTGCAGGTGAGTTCGAAACAAGAGAAGATCAAGGTAAGAGAGTGAATCCCCCATATAGGTCTTATACCCAAGGAAATCCCTCTTAAGTTACTTTTAGACATGGTACCCTGTTCATCCACGGATGTTACTCGCGCCTTGCGTGGATGTTTTCATGGTGGATTTGTTTATGTTTTGCTTACAAAGGGAAGGAAAACTTTTAACACTTTAGGGATGCTTTCTTTGATATTTCAATAAGAAATGGGAAGACCTGGGTACCATGTCTAAAAACAACTTAAGGGGGATTACCTTGGGTGTAAGGCCTAAAAGGTGGATTCACTCTCTTACCTTGATTTTCTTCTTGGTTCGAAACGAATGCATGTTATGACACACTGTGGATATAAACTCTTCTTGCCATGGAAAGATCCTTGAATACTTCCTTGATGTTTTAAACTATATCACCGTGTTCTTGCCATGTTGTCCCGTCAATTTAAAGGAGCTCAGTCACGGTATCTTGGGTCATTTTGGCCGCGTACTAAAGTTGCTTTTTTTAAAGAAAACCTGAATGCAATAGTTTACTAAGATATAAAAACATCAAAGAGATAATAATAAACCATAAAGGAACAAGGGTTGTAAAGGATGGAGAAGATTAACACGGATTGCAAACGACGAGCTCGAAAAATGTATGCTAAACTTTTCATGACGCACAAACCGTGGCGTAGCTCCGTTAACAAATATCATTTTATAAAGGCAAAACAACTGACTTCTCTTGCGCTTTCACATGTCAGATGCTTCTTGACGAAATGGACAAAAACGATCAGCTGATAGGCGAAGTTTATAGCAAGGGTGACATTCTGCTCCAGGTCATCTCGGGCCAGAGTAAGGCTAGCGTGGAAAGCGAGTTGAACCAGTTAGAGGAGGACTGGGCCGAATTCTGTCAGGAGACGCCCTCGATCAAAGGCGTGATTGAGGAAACCATTCAAATGTGGAATGAATTCGAAGAAAACAGAGACAAACTGGCCGAGTGGCTGGGGGACCTGGAGCGAGCTCACAGCGAGGCATTCTCTGGACCAGCTAACCTTGAGGCCCTTAGGGATAAGTTGGAGGCGAAAAAGGTAATGCGCATGTTCAGCTTTGACTGACAGAGAAAGTGTAAGAAATGTAAATTGAGTTCAGGATGTTTAATCACTTTATACGTAATTACTTCTTAAAATTGTCATACGAAAATATGTTTTCTCCAGAGTGAAAAAACGTAGATTTTACGAATTGTGGCCGTAAAATGTTTGACCAGTATTAACCATGGGTACTGCATTTTGGCTTCCTTGTGTTTTTTTGTGCTGGTGCTGCAGTGTGAAATTGTTATGTAAGAGAAAGAATTTAAATAATTTGTCGACGAGTTGCTGGTAGTTTTCTGCGGATTCTCCCCACTGCAAATCTTTATTTAGAGGTTTCTTTCAATCTGGAGATAATTTTGCATGTTGCTTACCATCATGAGCATTATTAATTTAGTCCGTCATAATCACAAGTGATAGCGATAAGGCTAATTGCGGTTCCAAAAGTTTTGTTCCATTGTTAATCTACCGCAAGGTCGGGTCGAACATGAAAAAAGATGTTATCTGACTTACCTTGGCAGGTTTGTTATGCATGCATCCGGTGGTTCGTTATCTCCAAAAAATCGTTTGTTGTCTAATCACTCTGCGGTGAAACGAAAACAAAATAATTTCTAACTTAGCATAAGTAAGAAAACATCAGTGGTATAGGAGGGGGCATCTCGTTTATTAATCAGACATAAATTGGATCATTGTATGAGGTGGCTCCTGATGTTAACTTCGCTTGATCAAAGTTCGTTACACCGAGAAGTTGGTGTTGATTAGTTTGTTGCTAGGTTTTTTTTTTTCACTAACCATTTTCCGACCATTTTCTTTAAAAACTTGCAAAAGGAAATGAGCATCCTAGAACTCACACAGGGGTGTGTTCTATCGTTCCGTTGAATTAATATTTTGTTCTTTTATCAAACATTTCTTTTAGACTTTAAGCAAGGATATGAGCATCCAAGAACTCGTCCTGGATTTCGTGAACGTCAAAGGCCAAGAACTTAGCAGTAAAGTTGAAGAGAATCAATCCATAGAAGCAGATCTAGAGCAAATCAATGACATGTGGAACAGCGTGCAAGAGTTGGTGAGCGAGAGAACCAAAGACCTGAGACGCATGGTAGCTGAACTGAGTGACTTCGAAGAGGACCTTGGCCGACTTGGGGACGTTCTGAACTACACGGAAGTGTGCCTTCATGAAAGCGAAAACACAAAGGTTCCAGGATATAATGGACTCCAGAATCAACTTGCTAAACTGAAGGTAAGTTTAAGGGTGCAATGCAAGTTCCGTATGTTGTGTTGTTCGTCGTTACTTCGCGGAATATGGAAGCTAATGTCATCAACACTTATATACATAGGATACCATATGATAAGGAACTGTGATTTCTCTCTGCACGATTCATCTTTCCATACCTTCATCATCCGATTCTTCTTTTCCTTTCCTTTCCTTTTGTCTTTACTTACTGACTCGAATTCTGTCCTTTCCAGGCCGTCGCAAACAGCTTTGAAGGCCACATGGCTCAGCTATCGGATGTACACGAACGAGGCTCACGGCTTCGTGAGCGTTGCAACAGCGAAGGGCGAGTGACGATCGACGGGAAACTACAGACTCTCCAACGACGCTGGTCCGATGTCAAGGAAAAGATCTCTAGCAAAGTGCAGGTTGTAGAGGGCGAGATTGGCGAGTGGTCAGACTTCACGAAGGAGCTTGATCAACGGTTAACAGAGTTACGCAACGCTGATATCAGTTTGGGAGCAGCGATTATCAGCACAGCAGAGCTGAAAGTGTTGGAGGAACAGCTAGCTAAAGTCAAGGTTTGTTTCGGCAGGGACGTGAGGTCAAAATTAAAATATTTGAACTGCATCGGGCTGCTGTAAATCCAGCAACGCAACTCTTTTTCTAAACAGCAGTTCGTGAAGCAAAACATTGTGTGAACACCTAATTTTGCACGAGCGTCGGTACAAAGAATTGAACGCTCGCGTGTTTTTTCACGCTAAACAAAATACTGTGACCTGGCCCCTTTAAAGTACTTGATCTAACTTTCTCAAACTCATCAATAATGCATCTTGTTTAAGCAATGGAAATCGTGATCATGACGGTGTTTGGATATCTGATCTTATGTAGATTTTTGCGATTTTATTTTTTCCTTCTTTTTAATTTCGATTGAGAAGGTATATCAAACACTGAAGACAGTGCTTGACCACATATCCAACCACCTTGAAGATCGTTAAAAATACTCCGCTACGCATCGTATTTCACCTCTCTTTTCGGTGTTTGGAAATGTGGTCAAACACCGTCTTTCATGTTTGAAATATTACATAAAGTTTTACAAATCCCATGATGACCTTTTTCTTGATTTCATGTAACAGACGCTTTGTGACGACCTAGAGCAAACCCAGCCTCAACTGGGAGAGCTCTTGACCAATGGCCGCCTGCTGTTAGATAAGGTGCCGGATGAGGACCGGGCGTTCCTGGAAAGCCAATTAAACGCGCTGGAAGAGCTGCAGGCGAACGTGATCCGTAAGTCACTGGCGAAGCAGGAGGAGCTGATTCGATACATCGTTCAGCAACAAGATTTTCAAACGCAGGTTCAGAGCTGTATGCACGTTTTGCAAGAGGTGGAAACGTCTTTGGGCGAGTGGGAGCTGGGCGTGGCGTCGGGACTGAGTGAAATGAAAGAAAAACTGTCGCTTTGTGAGGTAGGAGTCGTGAAGGTTTTGTTCTACAATGCTGAACAGTTTAAGTAGCAAAAGAAACCTTTGTAGATGTTCAAAAAGGTGTGCAATTTTGTTCAAGTTAAGTTCGTCGCTCTTTAAGGAGCTCAGTCACGGCATCTGGAGTTATTTTGGCCACGTACAAAATTACCTTTAAATAGAAGGAAACCTAAAAATTGTAGTTTAGTAAGATAGAAAAACACCAAAGAGATAATAATTAACCATAAAGGAACAAAGGTGGTTAAGGATGGGCAAGATTGACACGGATTACAAACGACGAACTTGAAAAATCTAGCCCACACTTTTTAAGATGCGCTTACCGTGACGTAGCTCCTTTAGGGGGGCGGCATCCCGGCTAATAGGTCGTATTTTATAACTATGGCCAAGAACCTTTTATAAACTGGCTATACTATCTTTTAGTAGAAAGAAAAAGACACCAGAAGCGATTAGAGATGAGAAAGAATCAAGTAGAAATAGGAACGACAGTGACTTAAGATCCAGTAACCAGAATGGCAATTTTGATGTCTTGTCGTACTGTCACAAAATCAAATTTTTTGAACTGTAATCCACTTCCATCTTTGTAATCCTGTACTTCTTCTCCAAAATAGTTGCACGATTTTGCTCTGTAGGAAGCTTTTATCCCGTTTATTTGTATATTTAGATGCATTTGGTGCTATAATATGGAAATTAAGAGAGAGAATTTTCGACAGACAATGGCACTGTCCCTGTAATCCTTATCTATCTTTCTAAGGCTTGTCTATTCTTATCCCGTTGTAGTCTCTTTTACCATACGACCCCACACTACACTGACCTGGAAACAATGGTCTCCTCTCCCGCTTTATTACTCAGTTAAAAAACGCGTCTCTTTGTTCTTTGAAAGAAGTCATTCTTTGGTCAAACTCTTTTGGAGAAGTCCTTGGAAAAATTATTTTCGTTGAAGCTTATGTTTGAGCTATTGATATCTGTTTATTGTTTGTTCTTTCTCCAGCCTTTGCTCGCAGAGTTGCAGACGCAAAAGGAATTTGTCAACAATCTCAGTGACAAGGGAAAGAAAATTGTGCAAGACAATCCCCGAAAGAAACGAGAAACACTGGAAAAACTGAGAACTGTTGGTGACAAATGGAAGAGGGTTCACAGAATGGCAACAGAGAAGAAGGACTACCTCATGAAATGCATTTCAGAGGTTGAGACGTTTGAGGTGAAGTACAACGAATGCATGGAAGCTCTTGAGACATTTTCAAGCGAGACAACGGAAATGGTTGATACTGATAAAGATATATCGCATGTCGAAACCTCGGTGGAGGAAGTGCTTCGTGTTGGTCATCGAATCTCGTCGCTTCTTCCAGAAAATGAGCGCGAGATCTTAGAGGCGCGTCTCGAGAAGCTGCGTGTAACGTGGAAGGAAATGCGAGATGTTCGCGATGAATCCGCACGTGTCCAAGAACGCGAAGTTCTCATGGCCGAAGAAGCAAAAGCTTTGGATTCGACGAATCAAGCCTTTGCTCTCGAAGTAGCAGACTTTAGCACGTGGTTAGATGAGGCGGAGAATACTTTGCAGATAGACATGTTTTCCGTTCCAGAAGAAGAACAGATGGACGTTATTCGGAAACAAGAGAAGCTCTATAACGAAATCCAACAGCAGAGCCTGGTGGTAAGCGACATCATGGCAAAGGGTAGAAAGGTGTCCTCCCGGATGAACGAGAAGGAACGAACGGTCGTCAAAGAGCAGCTGGAGAAATTGTCTGCGCGTTGGAACAAAGTTCGCACGCTCTCCGAGCTGCAGGGCGACGAGATTGAACGCTGTATCGGCGAGCAGTCGGAGTATTACGAGGAGCTTGAAGAATGCGTTGTATGGATGCAGGAAGCAAGCGCCGCTATGGCAGCAGATGGAGCTGATGCCAGCGATGTTGCTGGTGTTGAAGCTGACTTGCAGAAACACGGGGAGCTTTGTCAAGAGATAAAAGAAAAAGAGGACATGGTGAAGTCTGTGATGGAGAAAGGCACGAAACTTTGTGACAAACTGCCACCCGAAGAAAGGGCGGCTGTGATGGAACAACTCGCTCGTGTTAAAGATGAATGGACCAGTCTGCAACAGGAATCTGAGGAAAAGGATAAGGAGTTGAGGAGATGTCTCGGAGAAACCGTCGAAGATAGCAGTGGGTCGTTAATTGAAGACTTGAAAGGCTGTGTGAAAGAAATTGATCAATGGACAGAGTGGATGAAGGCATTGTTAGCTAGGGCTGAAACTACGGAGGAGAGAATTGCGGTGCTCTCAGAGGTGGAAACTCGTTATCAAGAACTGGAGTCTGTTATTGTCAAAGGAGAAGAAATCTTAGGTAAGGTAACGGAGGCACCAGAGAAAGCTCTTTTAGAATCCAAATTACTCGAGCTGAAACAGGATTGGCAGGCACTTAAGATGAAAGCCAGATCTAAAAGACGTCGCGATGGTAGTCAAGGAAGTGGAGTCGAGAGTAAACAGGTCGTGTTCGTAGGGGCGTTAACTGGGCTTAAGACCTGGCTCACGGATGCAAGAGACAGAGCGATCGGGACGAACTCGGCGCAAAGTGTAGATGACTTGCAAGAAGCTTCGAAAGTTTGTGGTGAAGTGAGAAGTGAATTGTTAGATAACAAAGCCCGGTTTGAAGATTTGATGCTGAAAGGAAAAGAGCTGGCTGACGAATGGGAAAACGAAAGTGTTGAAAATAAGGAAGTTGTTGAAGGTCAGCTAGAAGCATTAAGAACTGAGTGGGAAAGACTTGATGAAGACTTAGACAAGCGGGAAGATTTACTGCAGGTTTCCACGGAACAGGTTCAGAAGTTAGAGTCCGATTTTGAAAAAGCACAATCAGCTTTGGCGGATGCTGAGTCAAAGCTGAACGATATTACTAGTGTTGAAAACTTTGACACCGTGGATTCAGAGCTGCAGAGCCTGCAAGGAATTCTCTGTGATGTAGAAATGTGCGAAGCTGGAATTGCTTCAATGGAGACAGACGGTCAGTCAATCCACCCAAGCTGTCAAGCGATTCAAGAAGCGTTTACCACTCGCGTTTGCGAGTTGACGGAAAAACTGTTGCATGTCAAGGGGAATGTCTCTAGTCAGATTCAACGAGAGGACGAAACACTGAAGCAGCGAGACAAGTTAGCAACGGAACTATTAGAATGCAAAGAGCTGATCAACAAAGTGGAAAGTTCTGCAAGGGAAGAGCTTAAAATGGAGAATATACTGCTTTTAGAGGAGGGTGTGGTGCTCACAAAAGAAGCTGTAACATCGGCGGAGAACGCTCTGGCTTCTTTACACGTTAAAACTGAAGAATTGCTCAGCAAATTAAAACCATCTCAACAGGCGGCTTTGCAAGTAGAAGTGAACGATTTAAAGTCGCAGTGGGATTACATCGGAGGAAATGCCAGTGATAGGGTTGGAAGTCTGGAAAAACGTCTAGCAACTGTTAAAGAGTTTGGCCAAGAATTGGAATCTTGTAAAGAGTGGATTGAGAACTCTAAGGATGAAATTAAACGCGCAGAGCTCGTTGCGGGAGATATTCTTTCAATGGAAGATCAAGTTGCACGGCTGAAGGCTGTTAATACCGGGTGTGCATCTCCGGAGAATGTGGCGGAGGTGCTGTTAAGGAAAAGCGAAGCGTTTTTCAAAGATGTCAGCTATTCGGAACGGCAAATGTTTGAATCCCAACTGGCCGAGTTAAAGAATTCTGTTGAAGAAGTGCAAGAGCGATCAAAAGTGGAATTGGATAAACTCGAAGGAAAGCTTCGCGAGAACCGTGTGTTTCAAGAAACGTATCAGGATTTGAAGTCTTGGATTGAGAACGAGGGGAAGTTGGCAGAATCGTGCTCTGGACAGGGCGACGGCTTTTCGGTAGAGACGCGGGTGGAAGAACTCGAATTGACGCAACAAAAGCTTGAGTCAAAAGAGAACGAACTAAAACTTTTGCTAGAGAACGCTGCCCGATTAACGAACAATACGGATGAGAAGGAAACTATTGAGTCTCAACTGTCATGTTTACAGAATTCTTATGCGGAGTTTAAAAGCAAAGTTGCGGACGAGTTGATATTATTGCAGAGTGAAAGTGATAACGTCAAAGAGTTCAAAGCTGAGTTGCAGCAATGCAAAGACATTGTTCAAGGAATTGAGAGCATTGTGTCTTCTGACCCGCCTTGTTTCTCTGATATCGAAGAAATGGAAGTTTATGCCGAGGAGCTTAAGAAAGAATTCGAAGACGCTTTAGCCCAAAGGTCCGTTATTTTCCAGCTTGGAGAGAAGAAGGATCAAGTGGCAATGGTGGTGGACGCAACTGAGGATTACGCTCAGGTTGTTGATAAATGGAAAACATCGCTTGCTCGCTTTTCGGAGAAGATAGCTGAAACAGAGCGCAGAATTGCCTTGGAGAAAGAGCTCAACGAAAGCCTTGAAGAAGTTTCTAGCTGGATGGACAACGTCGAGAAAGAAATCTCACTCGTCTCCGAGCATGCCCAAGAGGTGGAAGAAGTAGTTGGGCAAGTCGAAAAGCTGAAAACTTTGAACAACGAATGCGCCTCGTACGAACAGTTTGTCGAAACACTACGGAATAAAGTGGAAGATTCTCCTCTTGAGTCAGAGGACTTTAAAGTAGGACAAGAAGATCGACTCAGCTCGTTAGAAGCCAGGGTTGAAAAAATGCACAAACTTTTGGCGGCAAAGCTTGGCGACGTAGAAGACTGCGTCAGCGACGTCAGTGAAGTCACAGAACAAATATCTTCATGTAAAGAATGGCTCTTGCAGAAAAAGGAAATGATCGTGGGCGGGAAGGAGGATTTTGGGCTTCGGAACGTCCCGCAGCTGGAGGAAAAGCTTGTCGAGTACCAAAAGCTTAACAGCGAGGCATATACTGTGCTTCACGATATTATGCAAGCTAAAGAAAAGGTCGGTCAAGGGGTTGGGAAAGTTTCTAGTTCAATAGAAGAATCGCTCTCAAAGGAACTGAACAGTTTGTGTGACACTCTGTTGGGATTACATGAAGAATCGGCTGCTAAGTGTGTGCAGGTGGAGCAATGTCTCGGTGAAGTGAAAGAATTTCAAGATGAAGCTTTACGTTATGAGACATGGCTGCAGGAAGCTAATAACGTCATGCAGAGATGTGCAGAGAAGCCTGTGGGTTTAGACGCTCTGGCGGAACATTTGGGCGAGTTGAGAGATCTGCAAACCGAGATCAATGAAAAACAACAGGAATTCCGTAGCTTTCTTGAGAAGAATAAAGATCTTGTCGTGCAGAGCGGAATTCAAGACAAGCTAACAAAAGCAAGCGACGATTTCGACGACCTTAACAAGGAACTCCCGCAGGCCTTGAGCAAAACAGAAGCGACGATCGACAAATACAACGAATGCAGTAGACAGCTTGAGGAGTCGCTAGAATGGTTAACCAAAGCCGCTGTAATTGTGGATTCAGAAGCGACGTTTTCCTTGGACGATTCCAGCGCTGAAGAGCAACTTGCTAAGTTGAAGGAGTTGCTGCCAGAATTGGAGACGTTCGCAGCTAAGATGGCGCGCATCGAAGAAAACGGTGAAGCTGCGAATGTCCTTGGAGAAAGCGGTATGGGTGAGCTACAAAGTAAACTTGATTCCGTCAGAAGGAAATGGGAGGCACTCAAAGAGGACGCGGCTAAGAAAGAGCAACGTTTGAAGGCATTTGTTCAAGCGAAAGAGAGCTACACCGCGTGTGCAGACAACTGCAAACGGGCTTTGGATGATTTGAGGAAATCTTCTGAAGAAGCGTGTGAATATTCAGTTGTACGAGGCAAGTCCAACGCCCAGCTGGAAGCGCGGAGGAAACAGCAAGAGAAATGCCAGGAACTGAAAGAGCAGATACGTTCGTTGGAAGAAGCAGGCTATCACGTGACGAACACGTGCGAGGAGCTAAGAGAACCGATTCGAGAGCAATTGAAGCAGATTAAAAATGAATGGCAGAAGATCAACACGGAAACTGCAATTAGGCAAGAACAACTGGAGTCTTGGATCAGTGAAGTCGGAGACATTCATGGTGATGTGGACGCTTGTGTAGCTCGTGTGAAGACGTTACATGACTCTCTTCGAAGCTATAAATCAGAGGGAACTGATATACAAACTGCAAACGAAATTCTCGGCCAGCTTAAACAAACGGCATCAGAGCTTGAGTCAGAGAAGAGTAATGTTGATGGTCTTGTAGAGAAAGGAGAAATGCTTCTCACAAAGCTTGACGCAAGTGAAAAGGCAGAATTGGAAGAATTGTTCCTAGCGTTACAGACGGCATTTAACGAAGCGGAAAGGGATTCTAAGGAGAGAGTTCGTCAAGCAGAAGAACGTATCAACGACATTATTGAATTTGACAAAGAATCCGCACGCTGCGAAAGCTTGCTCACAATTTATCAAGCGGCAGTTCCAGTTGATGTGTCTTGCACAGTGGAAACCCTGGATGATCAAATGGGAAAGCTTAAAAGGCTCTACGGAGATATGGAATCACGTGAAACACACATGGCTACGTTGCATGAGAAAGAGGCTAAGCTGTCATCTGATGACGCGACGCAAAGCGTGCGTACTACCCCAGATGGAAAAGCCGGGCAGCTGCAAGGAGACTGGGGAAAGCTCAAGGCTTCGGTAGGAGAGAAGGTGCGTGAGCTTGAACGGTTAGCACAGACCAAGAAAGACTTTGAAGACGACTATGAGACATGTCAGGCAGGCGTCCAAGAACTTGAAACGGCAATTCTTGCACGGGAAAGTGATCGAGGACCTGTAGAGATGCGAGTGGAACGAATGCAGGAGCTGTGTTCTAGAATCAAGTCGTATCGCAACAAGCTTGATCTGCTTACAGATCGATGCGATGAACTTCCAAACGTTGCCTACGAGCAAAAAGATCTTGATCCCAAACAAAAGCTGAATTCTGTTGTGAAGAGATGGGAAGAAGTGAAAGATGAGGCCCTGGGTAAACTAAATGAACTTGAGAAAGAGAAGTCGGAGGTACAAACTCTTGCGCAAGGTGTTGAAAACTTACAGCACTGGATACAAGACGTGCCTGGTCCTTTCATTGAAAAACATATACCACCAGTAATTCAGAAAGCTGACTTGGAAAAAGCTCTAATTGCTAACACGGAATTTCGTTCCATTGTCGAGACGAAGGGCAATTTGTTGCAAGAAATATTACTTAAATCTGGTAACATCAAGGGCGACGGACCAAATAAAGATAGGATTCTGAGCGATCTTCAAGATGTATCAAGGACTTTGGAAGATACTAAAGGAAAATTGGCAAGTAGGGATGGCGAGATAAGAGGCCGCATGAAACAACATGCCAAACTTGCAGCGGACCTTGATCGCATTAGAGACTTGTTACATGAAGTCAAAGGCCTGGGCTCTGAGCCTGTGGAGTTTGAAGGTGAAAACTGGATTGAAGACGCCATTACCTCGAAGAGAGTTGCACTGGCGAGGCTAGATTCCTGTGAGCTTCTTCTAACTTCCATAGCTGAAAAAATTGTTAAAGGGGGAGCTGACCGAAGGGATGTCGGCGACACCGAGATTGAAAGTGATTTCCGTTTGTTGTCCGAGGACGTGCATGCAGCGCAACAAAATCTATCCAAGGAAGTACTGCAACTGGAAAAGTTGCGTGATTTTGAGAGCGACTACGTAGAGTTACTGACGTTGTACGACAATCTTTCGACCAAAATTTGTGCAGTTGATTGTAACGCCATCGCCGAAAAAGGTGACGTTACACACACTGAAGAGGAACTTGCAGTATGTCACGCAGTTGATCAAGAACTCTCTGAAAGGGAAGGAGATTACGAAGCGCTGATAGAAAAGGAGAAGGAGACGTTATATTTTTCTCCGCTCGACAAGAGAGAAGAGTTGGTAACACGATCTCATCAACTGAAACAAACGAGAACTACTTTACAAGAGTTGATACATGAGCGTATCGACTGTCTACGAGATCTCGTAGCGGAGCAACAGACCTTGGAAGGTTGGCTGAAAACGGCGGGAATTTTAATCAAGGATGGTACATCACTATTGGATAAGAGCGATGACGGCTTCACGCTCGACGATGCCCGGATGTCTGAGAAGTCCCAGGCTCTCGCCGCCTTCATTGCCAAGTTCAGCGAGTACGAAGTGTACAGTGAAACGTTTCAGGGTAGCGCTAAAGCGCCTGAAGTTGCGAGGGTGAAAACGGAGATTTCAGAACTGAGGAAGCAGTTGATGGACGTTGAGAATGAGTTACAGCAGTTTAAGGACTACTGCGACATGTTCGAAAGCGAGGCTGTGAAGGCCGCGGCGATATTTGAACGATGTACCGCGGACCACCAAGTACCGGCTTCACTGAAAGAGGCTCAAGAGGAGTTGGCCAACGTGAAGGTAAGTTGATATTTCAACTTTCAATTTGAAATATATATTTTCCTAACTGGCAGTTGTACATTTGCTGTTATGGCAATTTTGACAATTTATCGGTACATCAATACAGCTGGGAGTTAACCAGGTACGATCGAGTAGCTGAATTTCGATGAACTGTCGCGATTGTCTACATATTTTTTGTTTCAACATTCTATAAACGTCGAATTTTAGTAACTTGACGTTGTTACTTTTCAGCTTGCTTAGAAAATGTACCAAATTGTATAACGCACGTGCAAATTTTTTACCACTCATTTGACCCTTGTTTGGTTACTTTTTCGTCGCTGTTGTCGTCTGTTTTCTTTTCTAATTCTTATTGATTTTCAACTGTATTAACTATTTTTCGTTACTCTTGGCACCAATCAGCTTCAGAATGCATAGGAGTGGCTTAGCTTTCTTATCATTTAGGGAACTCTTTCACGTGGTCGTCGTGGGCCTCGCCCTCATGTCGAGTCTTCGGCGACATTTTAAGAAGCTGTAAATAAGTTTGTGCAAAACCTCAAAGTGGCACTGCTTCCTTTTGCCATTTACAATCCAGCTGAGAAATTGCTGGCGGGTGGAGTTGCGGGGCAGCTATGTATAACGCTGTACGAGTCCACGGTCGTAGGGAGTATGGCTTTAAAATTAATAGGATACGTATTAAACGAGGAATTCACCCAATATACAAATAGTCTACAATTCTTTAATTACTGCACGTTTATGATGTACAATCGTTTCAAGTCAAAAAGTGTGTAATCTGACTTCGTGGCTTCACGGTTTTGCGTTCAAATTTAAGACCGATAAATTTGTTGTTCCACCCGTTATGGCTCAGAAGTCACTTTGAAGACGAGCCAATAACCAGACAGGCTGTATACTGCCGTTAAAAAGCGCTTTGGCAGTAGTTATTTTAAGTGACCTCTTCTCCTGAACTTATCCGCGCTTCTTTCATGTGCAGCACTCGTATTGTTACAGAATTCCGCCTTTACAGACGGAGAAAAAACAGCTTTGCTTCACAGATGACGCGATATTTAAAAGTACTCCTTACGTTACGGTCAGTAAGAGTAAATTTGCATCTCCCTCGTTGTTTGAATTTCAAATGAAGTCCGCTCTTTCTTCGTCTTTGTTTTCAAAACAAAGGCACAAGTAATTGGACCTTTTATTACTGCGAACAAACTACAAAGCGACAATTTAATACACCATGGAATTGCCTTCGAAGAGATTTGCCAATGTTCTTAACAAGTTTTTACCATGATGAATATGATTCCAGAGATTTTCTATTTTATTTACTTGGAAGGAAACTCGGTGAGTAAGCTTAAAACTTGCTTCCAATTGCTCTCGGCTAATGTTTTTGATCTGCAGGAGAGCGCTCGCTAAAACAAACAAACCTTAGTAGTCGCCATGGTTTGCGAGACAGTCGTGAAATATTTTAACCTCCTTATCGCTCAATTATCATATATCTGGGCTTGTGTAAGTAGGAGGGAGAAGCTAATTTTGAATATTCATACTTTTCAGAAGATATTTTTGTATTGTTTGCATGATCGTACGGTGAATAAGTATGGCGTGTACTGGGAAACATAATTTAACAGAATACGACAGCGACATTGACGGTGATGTTTAGTATCCTTCAACTAGTCAACTGGCTCTTGGAAAAAAGTAGGGTCCTTGGTGACTATTTTTTCTTGTTCAATTAACTTCTCGAATTTGTAAATTTATGATTCTAACACTTCAATATGCTTTTAAAGCCGAGAACAACAGGCTACGTGAGGCGAAGGTTAGTGAAGTTCAAATTGCTCCGGAGAATGTTTCGCTGCGATTCACAAGAGGTTTCTTTTTAGTTTAACTACTGTCTTATTACTTCCTCCTCCTCACTTAATAAACAATGGCGTAAAGAAACTTCTTTCACGACTGTAATTGTCTGCTCAGTAAGTCAGTGGTCCGTATGGACTAAACGATCAACATGACAGATTGCGATCTTCTGAGGCAACAGGGAAAGTAGCTCCAGGTTTACTGTAGATTTTAATTTTTATTCATTCAGTTAGAATTGAGATTTTCGCGCTTGAGGGTTATAACCTTCCCTTAGATATTCTTATGCGGAGATTGCCATACTTTCAAAGATACAAACTGTTGTTATTAAGTACGTAAAGCTGTTGGAAACTTCTCCGATATCATGATGTTGACCGGCGGTCCCTTTGCGAGATGTTGTTTACCGGTACTTAAAAACGTGTTTATCTTTCGCCGGTCAAATACTGGTTTTATCTTGACCTCGTGTTCTTGTCGTGCCTGCAGGTAGCACAATATACCTTACCAATTTGATGACGAATTCTTTTTGCGGAAATGGCCGCATCCGAAGTTTTTTGAAAGCTGTCGTGAGACAAATCGATTATACGATCTTATTAATTTTTTTTTCAGTTAATTTTAAGCTAAGTTCTTATTCGAATCAGAATTCTTTTCGAAACCGTTTCAGTCGCGGAGTTATCAGTATCCTCTTTCTCGTAAAAGTAAATCTTAGCCGAGCGGGTAGCTGACAAAACTCTCAAATTTCCGGCGCAAAGTTATTGCCTGAACTTGTCTAGGTCTTCATTTCAACCTTTCTGAAAAAATGCGCTTTCACTCACGACTGTGGCCGATTTTGTTTCCTCTTACAAGTACATGTATACAATTTCGTATGTACTATGTCTTTTTGATTGTCACGCAACCACCGTTTCTGCTTGTCACGCATCGGCTGCAGAGAGGCTGTTTATGATACAGTGGGGCGCATGTCCTAAACCGTTTTTCTCTACCTTTGTACCATCTGTATCCTTCGTTGTTTGTTTTCGTTCCGTCATTAATTCTTTGTTATTTTTCTTCTTTTTTTTAGTTTTCCTTTATTTGAAATTAATTTAGTACAGCAGGAAAATGACTTGAGGTGTCGTGACACAGTGTATCATGCAGATTTGGCATTGTCGGGCATGTGCCAAAAATAGAAATTATAAATTAATTTTATTGACTGTCGTCACTTATTTCCCGCGCAGGATTTAATAAAAGAAGTCGACGGTAGAGAAAATACCCTGAGCACGCGAGGTGAACTAGTCAGCGGCAAACTGAATGAACTCGAACGCGAGGAGTTTGAAGAGCGGCTTCGAAAGCTGAGAGAAGAATGGCAAACAGCGAAAGAACAGTTGAACGTACAGCGGGAACTCTTGGAAGATGGCATATCAAGCTGCCAGAAACATCTTGAGATCGTGGAGCAAGCGACGTCGAAAGCGAAGGAGATTGATCAACTGTTGAGCGAGATAACAGCCGCGAAGGAGGAAAACATGGAGACGGTTGAGACGAAGACTCAGGTATTAACGGTACTCGTTGTTACGTCCGTAAATATTACAATTTTATATAATTCTACGCAGTGTTAAAACACCAAACGTTCAAGCGAATGACTGGTTAAACACCGTTGTCTAGAGAAATTATATTTTCTCTATCCTTGACGAAATAATGCTACTTTGAATTAAACCGCTGCTACTGTGTTTTAGAATATTGAGCAACAATCTATATTTTTCATATTTTTTCCGCTCTTTTGACACTGTCATGTTGGTAATATTAACATCCCTGATCGTCAATCTGCGTTCCATTTGTAATGTCTGAAGCTGTCTGGTCACAGATCATGTACGCTTACATTTATTTTGCATATTTAAATCTAATGCTTAATCATCCCGCTAGAAACATCCTGTTTCAGTTGATCCTTCTAGAACTGTATATTTTTCGGTGCCAAAAACCTCGTCTGCCTAATCGAGAATTTTTACTTTCACATTTATTTAACTCTGTTCTAACTTTTCCATTTCTATTTTACCGAACCCGAGCGAGATGATTGATATAAACTCAGTGATGGAAATGTTTCAAACACAGTGTATTCACTCGTACAAAACATACGAAAATTTGCATTTGAAGTTGAAAGTGTTGTCATTTCCTACTGATATTAAGGCTTTTGTTGCGCTGTGCTTATACTTTGTTTATAAACGAAGACAAAAGTACGTGCGCGTCGCCTGAATATATTAGTACTAAATAGCGAACGGCAGCCTTTAACTCAAGATAAATATCACGAATACATGTCTTTCATAGTCATCTTTGCGGAAAGCACCAAGAACTCACAAATAACTTATTTGACAGCAAGCCCCTTTAACCTATGCCTGATATCACTAATTATATTTCTGGGTGAAGTTTTGGTAAATGACCTAACCATTACTATTGTGATTTCATTTAGTTGCCTCACCTTTCGTGATAACTTCATTTATTTTTCATGAATTTCACCTTGTGAGCCGATATCGTGTTGAAGAAATTAAAAGATAAATTATATATTTTGTTATCTTCCCGAAGATCTGGCCTTCATATTGTCTGTTTTAATAGAAGTTAATACTTGAGTAAATGATAAAGCATAGTACTGTAATAAATAATGTTTATTATATTTATATAAAGGAACAAACACAGCATAATTTCTGATCGAAGGCTTTGAACGCCGGCAACCTGAATAAAAAAAAATATCTAATGCAAACCAAGCGGTAAGAGCGGAGGCCATATACTTAGCTAACGCTCGAGTGCTGGCAGGGTTAACTGCATGTCTAGTGTTTTGGGCAAGACATTTTCATCTTCCAGTTTCGAAGCCAGGAAATAGAACTACGAAAGTACAGAATGATACAGGGAGAATTTTTTGCTTTGCCAGGCGAATGGGACGGAAATCTCACCAATTGTTTAAGCTCTGTTTTATTAGAAACTTGCAAATGCTTGTGTTTGCCTTTACATACAGTTCAAATTTGCAGCAAAACGCTGTCACCTTATAAGCTTCCCACAGGCATGTCTACCCAGCGTAAGTCGATCCAAGTTGTCGCCAGCTAACATTGTCATACCTGGTATAAAATGATAACTTGTTTTTTTTAAATTTCGAATTGTAATAAGAGTCACACCTGCCGATCTGACAGTGCTCTTGGGATATTGTCTCGCAGGATTTAAGAGAGAAATTAGAGATCTTCGAATCTCTCATGGCAAGTATGACGGACCTCGCCGCTACCGTGCCTTGGAAAGAAACTACCGAAGTCTCCACCGAGGCCAGCCTGGAAACCATCCGAAACGACGCCAGACGAAAACAGCAGGAATTGCACGAGACTATATCGTTTCACAAACAGTACAGAGAGGCTGTTGGAAAAGCAAGTGATTGTCTACGCGAAATTGAACAGAAATTGGCCGAAAAGGAATCGCAAGATAACGGACTGCAAAACAGATCCTTTTTCGAGGTACGTGCTTGATATTTTTGGGATCACGCGCCAGGGAAATATCGCGCGCGGTCAATACCGTCTTATAGACCCTTTTCATACATGGCTGTATGCATTTAAATTAGCCTCACTAACTCGTTTGAGAGTAAAAATTCTTGATCGTGCGGCGTTTTGGGGTGTCTTGACTTCGGTTTTATGGCAGTTGACGTTAAGAATGCGAAGTTCATAAACTACTTTTAGGAGTTTGATCACGTCGTTATGGGCTTCTTGCGATTTTGCATAAACTTCTCCTTGATCAGTACTCGAACGTATAAGTAATAATTTCTGAAGAGTTGTTGGGTGTATTGCGTCAGTTTATTAAAGATTAATAGAAGGAAATGCGAATTTAAAAAGCGTTCGACTCCTGTTTACTCACTGGGTGTCAATTTCTAATAAACGCCAGAAGCAGCTGGTTCTTTTGGCATAGATAACCAGTAAGAGGACAGCACTTAGACATTACAGTCGCACTTAGTAGTCGGCGTAAAATGTTATACTAGCCCTGTGGTCAAAGTTTGGATAACGCTATGCGAATAAGTCCATATCCGTCGAATGAACCACTAAATCACCAAATCGCCATCGGATAGCGCAGTTTGTTCTGTCCACAGTTATCCACTGGATAGTCGATTTACACGAAGCCACGATCGAGATCGTTCGCGGCTTCGCCGCTCACAATTGCAGCTTTGCCACGAAAACAAAAAAAAACCACTGGCACCTAGGGTACTTGAAAGAAGAAGACTCGCGAATTTGGGACATTTCGCAGCAACAGCGACAACTTCAAGACGCACTGACCCCGCAGTTCCCGCCAAAATCATTTTTGGCGGCAACTGCACACGCAGTGCAATACGACAAACGGCAAAAATTGCCTCTGATTTTGTTATCTTTTCCTCTAATCCTTAAATCAGTTCAACACAAAAACAGAAAAAAAAATCTCCTATTGAGAGAAAATACAAATAATCTCACTTAAGTGTACACACGGCTAAAAAAAACGACGGCAAAAGTTTAATTTTTGCCGTTTGCCGTTTGCGGTAACGCCATGCTCGACCTCTCTATTGCTTAGCAGCGTAAGTGACGAAAATCGCGGGGTGGGAACATTTTTGCCCTGGACTGGTACTTCAAATACCACTGAATCATGAGCTGTTCCCTGACCGTTATTTCAGTCGGAAGTGTAGTTTAATTCATGAAATAGGAAACGTTTCATTATTTTATCTCCGCAGGAGTTCCAACAGAAACTAGATGACGTTGCTCCTCTTCTCCAAACCGCCAGTGAGAAAGGGAAGCTATTGGCTATGATGGAGCCTCACGCAGTTCGAGGAAAGAACGAAGTGCAGTCCAAGCTCGATGAATTAAGCGGCAAATGGGACGAGCTGCAGACGAAGCTTAGCGAGAAAATAGCCGAGTCGGAGGAGAAGTGCGAAGCAGTTACTGCTCTGAATAACGAGGTCGAGACTGTATCCAGACGGTTGGACGAGCTGGCGGCCTCCACTGAAGATTTGACTACGGCTACTTACGATACTGCTAACGTCCTGGAACACAGAGAAAACTATGAGGTAAGATTGTTGATATAGCGCCGTTTTCACGAGGCGTCACGGCAGCCATATTGGGTGCGGTGGCCATGTTGAGGTACCAAAACAAATCCTGTAAGAGTTGAACTCATTCTTATGTTAAGACTTTCTTATGTTCCAATAAATGTCTTTTCACGTAAAATGGAGCTTGTATGACGGTAAGTTTTGATCTGACGAATAGTGAATTTATTTTTGTCTTCTCCAGCGTTAATCCTTTGAGTTCCAAATCAAAATGATGATTCTCTTGGCTAGATTGCATAATTCTAAGCTAGGTTTTTTTTGAGTTCTCGTCGGTTGTTAAGTGCTCAGTTTGTACCTTGGAAAATATCGAGCGCGCTATTGTACTGTAAGCCTCTTTAAGGCATTTCGAGTACGACCTCATGTCTTGTGAGCTCTTTGCCCTGAAATTCTATTTTTTTTCTCACAGCGTGTTTTCAACATGCCTCTTTGAGGTCGCTCAGGACTGAGTAGTTCAGACTAAAACGTAAAGCCTTTTAAGCTCAACTGCTCATAGCTCTCGGCGCTTAGCTGCGGTTTCTGTAGTATGAAGCGGCTAGGAGTATTGTTTTCCTCCCCTCCCCCCTCTGGATGGGACGCTCGTCCTTCGCAGGTTCCATTGCAACTAGCGTTCTGCTAGTTTGTAGCAACAGTTCGGTTCGCAAGTACCAGTAATACACCTGAGTGGAGAGAGAGGCACTGCGAAAGTACTGAAAGTGTCTTGTTCAAGAACATAATGCAATGACCCTGGCTAGGGCTTGAACCCGGAGTCCAGCGCCATGTTAGGCCACCGCACCTCCAAGGACTGACTAAGATTAATCTGGTTTATTTTCTTCTTGAAGTCTATCAGCAAAGAAGTTTCCGACCTCCAAGGATCCGTTGAGGACCTCAGCAGTAGATGTCAAGAGCTAATGAGCTCCGTCTCGTCCAGAGAAAGCGAGGAACTCGGTGAGCAACTAGTCACACTCAAAGCCAAGTGTGAAAACCTTGAAGGTCATGTGGCAGAGAAGGAAGAGGAGTTCGAGGAGACACTGTGGAGATGGCAGGAATTTCAGAGTGACATGGATGCTTGTTTCCGTAATTTGGCCATGATCGAAAAGTCTTTGGATTTTCAGTCTCTAGATGATGGAGAATTAGAAGATCGCCGAGAGACACATCAGGTCAGAGTTTGTCACTTTTCTTGTCAGAATCTACGCCGCGAAAAATTCTTACAGTTTGTTGTCTTGGGCCCCGGCAACACTACGCCAGAGAAATTTGAAAACGGAGGTTTCACTCTGAAAACGCATCAAATGTTTCCCGTCTACACTACGCGGGAGGAATTTAAAAACGCAACAATCACCGTCCATTTTGGATTTGTGTTTGAGGAAAACTCGGTCAGGCAAGTCATATGATTGTCGTGACGCCATATTTTTCGAAAAGCTCCTTTTTCAAACTGTTTTCCGTCCACACGAAAATGAAAAGCCGGCGTTTTTAAATTCCTCCGTTTTGAGGGGCGTTTTCGAAAAGCTCCGTTTTCGCGACGGATTAGTGTGGACGGTAGGCCAAACCGTAGAAATAAAATTCCTCGGCGTAGTGTGGACATTGCCTTAACTCACCAAAGTTGTTGCTCTGAATCATTACCGACGCGTATGGTATGATAAGCCAATCAGCTTTCAAAGCAAAGCAACATAACCAGTGCCCGGTGCGGGGAATGTTTCTGCAGCTGAACTTGTGCTGCTTGCAGGTTGAATTGGTTTTTAAATCAATCAAAACTGGGTATTCTCATATTTGCGATCATGGAGTCGTACAGTGTGTGGCCCTGTGTGCCTACTGACGGATTCGAAATGATGATCAGATGATACAATGTTACCAAAAGGAGATTGTGATTTTCTTGCGTTTTGTTTTGAAAGTTTGATATTCCCATAGGAATCACACAAGAATATAGGTTACGTTTATAAAGTGGAGTAAATAGTAACGCATTTCAAGGAAAACAAAAAGCAAATAAAACAAAACAAAAGCAAAACTCTGAAAAAAGTTAAAAAGAAAAAAGGAAAGAAAAACAGAGAAGAAAAAGAAAAAATGACGAAAAATGTTTGCATAAACAAAGTGAAAAGTTCCAGCCAGGAAGAGTGGGGGACGTCATGGCTACCTTAATATCATATCAACTCATTTACTGAATTATTTGTTACTGTTACAGATGTTGTCAGACAACCTGGACATCCAAGAGTCGATCATTCGCGACGTCAAAGACAGAGCCAGTGATGTCCTAAGAGTGTTTCCTCCAGCAGACGTTGACAAAGCCAAGGTCAAATTGATTTCGCTCGATCAGCGGTTTCTCCTCGTCAAAGAACGTCTTCAGAGGAGACAGGAGGAGATGTTGAAATCGTCCGTGGACTGGCACGAGTTTGAATGCGGGCTCAAGAGCTGTTTGGAATGGGTACTGAGAGCAGAGGAGCGCTTGGCACGTGAATTAGTAGATTTGCGTGAAAACGAGACTGACATTGGACGGCTGAAGGTTAGTGAAGGGTTTGAAAGCGTTCCCGGTAAACACCTATTTGGGAATTAGTTATTTCTTTGCGACGTTTGGCTAATTATAATGTGCACAAGAGAGTGTAGTCTATTATAATTTAGGGTGATAAAATTTGCCTTTCATCGCTTTCAAAGGCTAGAAAATTTATTTGGGTATGTGCAAAAAGGTCTCGGCCACGTCTCAGAGAAGTTCAGTTTCTTGAGTGCTCAACTAATTTTTTATTTACATCCATAATTCGACAACTTAGATGTAACACTGTTCATAAGTTTACATAAGTAATTTTTAGTCTGTATACAAAATTCCCTTGGCAGAAAAATGAAAGAAATAAATGTTAAGTTTTTTTTTTTCTAAGATCCCCCTTTGGTGAATTGTTTTTTAGTTCGGCACGGTTTAGGGGGTTTTTCTCCAGAACGAAGAATACGGGTTCTTTCTTTGGAAGATTCCTAATCATGTGGTTTTGCACTAAACGCAGCACCACATTTTTTGTGAGCCTACTTGACTGTTTTCGTAGCTTTTCCAATAGTGAAAGCAGTTAAACCACGCTGTCGTTTTTGGCGCCTGTCCCCAGTCTCACTCGGTGTATCCGTGCCCTCTAGCTCTCCAAAGCCAGTCTTTTACGGCGTTCGTTCGCTGTGCTCACGCTCAAAACACAGTCTTGTCTTTCACGCTAAAATTGTAGAACGAAGTATGCAAACAACAGCTGCTATTGTTATTCAAGATGTACTGTCGCAGTTGTAGAGTATTTTGTTCAATTTATGCATAAATCATGGAGGCTAAAATAAACATCGACAGGTGTTTCAATCCAACTGGTTGCTTGTGTGACGATGCATTCATTTCTCTGGTCGTGGTTTTAATTTTTCCTTTTTTGTTAAAACCGTTTCTTTCTCAAAATGATCTGTACCTGTTTTGTTGTATAAATGAAGTCGATGCAAATAGGAATTGGACGTGAAGAGAATTACGAGGTTGATCTCAGGCCCGGCGAAAAAAATGACTTTCCCGCAGCTTAGAGAACTGATGATGACCGAAGAGAAATTGTCTTGATAGTTGAATATATTCTCCTAGCTAGTAGTTATGTAATGTGTAGCAACTGGTAAAGAGAGTTTATATGTTAACGAGCTCACAGTTGCTAAGCTAAATCATGTTTTGATTGCTCACCGCGAGTTACTAGAACCTTTGTTGTTTTTCTACTCCTTGCAATTTCAAAATGAGTTGTTTCGTAGATGACAGGTTAATGTCAGTTAACTTCAGGTTAATTAAGGGTCGTTTTGCCATTTTTCTTTTTAATTTGCTGAAAACTGAACGCCAATCATGGTCGAAATCTGAGCAGAAGATTCAATGTCTTCAATCTTTGCCTCCGAAGTCACACCATTCATACATGTTTGGACACTGTAATTTTCAATTTCACTGAAAACTACTGAATGCTTTATTCATCATACGATCGTATCGCTTCGCTTGGTAAGAGTTGTCTTTCAGTGAATGCGTCCGATTTAGAGTTTAGAATAGATTTCCTTCCTTTTATCTCTCTTGCCTTGCTTAATAAGTCATAGTCTCGCTTTAATATTTTATTTCTCTCCCCGCGGGCCGCGTTGCCCATGAACAGCGCCAAACTTGAATCAATTAGCGTGTAGCTTTAATTTATGCGCGTTTGCGTTAGCCATGTTTTCCTGGTTGAGCTCCTCTCGTTTAAACGATCCTTGGCCGTCGAAAATATGGTTACTTAGGAGCAGATCAGAGTTAGGACTGGCGAGTGAGGGATAAAGTTGTGTTTACCGCGCCGTTCATTGCGGTCGTGACGGCGATTGTTAATTTCGGTTGATAAGTAACTACAGTCTTAGCAGTCAGTAATTACGATGAAACTGCGGTGTTGTCAGACCGCGTTTTGTCGCCTGAGAGAAGAATAGAGGTGGAAGGACTATGGAAACGAAACTTGATGACTGAGTAACTGTGATGGCGAACAATAGTCCAGATTTGTACCTGCACTATTTTTACTTCCAGGCTTTCAGCGATGAATTGGACGTTCGACAGGGAGACTTCGAGAGCGTTCGCAGCCAAGGAGACCGATTGGTTTGCCAACTAAGCGATCAGACCGAACGAGAGGTTCTTCAAAAGCAGATGGATGACATATCTGACCGGCTGGATCGGATACAAAGTCTGGTGAATGAGCGAGGGCAGCGCATCGGCGAGAGGACACACTACGGCATTGTAGAATTCGAAATCGCGCTGAAAGATTGTTACGAGAAGATAGAGCAGTTCAAAACCAATCTGCGAGGAGTCAACAATTTGGAATCGATCGAAGGAGGACAGGAACGTTTGCACGTAAGTCTGAATAAAAAAAAGCTGGCCAAGTGGCTTTGATTTTGTTTTCAACTTTTCTGTTGCGATTTTCGAAAGTCATTCATTTCCCCGCGGCACCTAAATACGACCTGTGGGAGCAGATGCGAGCAGCTGTGAATGACATTATCGACATTGAATTCTGTGAAAAACATTGAATATTATGAAAATCGTACAGTGGCTATTTAAAGACAAAGATCTCTTTTTTTGTACCAGTTAAATATTGTTGCTTTAAAAATTGTAACATTTTTTAACTCTTTTTCACCTATTTATATAGCGCTCGATCGATTCTGGCGACTAAATCAGCTTGTTAAAGTTACTCAACTGAGGCTGGTCAATTATCATATCACGCTGAGTTAGTTTCGGGGTCACAGTGTTTTAAAAGAATTCAAAACAGACATGCGTCTTTTTCACAATTTTCTGTCTCGCAGAGCCGTTATTTCTCAAGAAAAGCGTTATTTCTTTCATTATTTTCTCATTCTTTTACGAGAAAATGAACTTGATTAGCATAACACATCACTTCCCACGCGTCAATGCCCAGTATTTAAATTTTATGTCACGCTTCGAGAATATTTTATAGCTCGTTATAACAGCAATCCTTTCTTTGATATCGGAGCAACGATTTGTTCATTGTGCAAGGGGTGTATTTGCCTTTGTTTCTATGTGAATCGCTAGGAGTTCGGATGGAATTGATTCTTTTTATTTGTTTTAATTTTTGTTCTGCTTTGTATGTTGTCAAATCGGTGATCAATATCGCCTTAAGTACAATAATAATATTAATATTTCCCTGTGAAATCAATGCATGTAATTGTATATGATATAAAATCGTAGTTACCCGTTTTACTCTTTGCGCAGAAAATTTACTTGTTTGTGATACTCGCCATGGTTTTGTTTACTGTTTAATATATGTTTCTAATTATCTTTCAAAAGCAATTGAAATTAGAACAAGGTCGACAAAAGCTCCAAACAATGAGATATAAGTGACCTTTGCAATAGCTTTCATTAGTAGACTTTTTAACGCTCATGAACAGACTTTGTTTTTGCACAATCTCTAAGCTAAGCTTTGTTAGAAATTCTGAAACGTGTTTTTTTAGAGTTTCATATCTTCAAAGGGTGGGGTAGCATAGAAAACTTGAAATTAGACAATATTTTCCCGTCCAAGTGTAGCCCTAACAGTGATCCGTAACTAACTCTTCTTACAACAAATAAACAAATGTAGAACTGCATTTCAAGAGAAATGAGGATTTCATAACACAGGAAAAATTGTGTGGACGCAAGGATGATCAAATTATCCCGACTTGTACTCTAAGTTTTGCATAAAGAGCAGCAAGAGGAAATTTGTTACCTCAGCTGATTCTTCTCCTAGAATTACTCGTCAAGTTTCCGATTCCTGTTGTTCAGTAATCAGTGTAATCAGAAACTGGGATTGTACTGCGGAAGTTGCCATGTGACCTCGTCATCAGGTTGAGGCTTGTTGCTAGGCAGCAACCGTGTAGTAGTCTGCGGCTCATACACCGAGTCTTGAACGTATGCAAGAGTACATGTTGTGAGGGCTTTTGCTCTGAAGTTCTCTGTCGCTTTCACAGTTTTATTTTTCCTACACTGAAATGTTTTCCTCAATCAGTGATATCTTGTGGCCGATATTTTCCCAGTACGGTCCCGAGCAAGCTTGGTAATTAAGAGATTTTATACTGCAGGATTGAATATCGTAAGAAAAAAAACCCGTGATCACTGAATGTTTCTCTTAAGACCGCCTCTTCTGTCAAGTATTTAACCACAGTATCTTGAGTCAGTATGTATATATGCATATTTACCCACCTTTGATCATGATTTTATCTTCATTGTTTCATCGGTTCAACGAAGATTATGTCTTAATCCCGGACGTTGTAGCTTTCTGTTTTCTTTAATTAAACTAATTTCATTTTAACCCAGGTTTGTTGTAGCCAATCGCAAGTGTAATTAAACCAGGTTGTTTGTAACACAAAGCAAGTCTTGCTAACTTGTTGATCAGTCTTAAGGTGTTTGCAAAACGTGAAGTGTTTTATATCTTTTTCTCAGTTATTTTATTTTCGAAATTTGTTATGTCTCTGAATCTTGTACGTGACGTTCATTAAAATTCTAATGAAATGAAAATATAACATGCAGTGCAGATGTGATCTAAATCATTGAAGTATTTCCATTTATTACAATTTCTAAAACTAAACAAACTAGATTTTCTGTAATTAAAGAACACGTTTCACACCAACTGACAATTGATCTTCACGGTCTGAAAACGAAATAACTCTAGGTGGTAATAATAACAAGTGAATCGGGATACAATTGTCTTCAAGTGGATATCATAAATTATTCACCTTTTGGGCCGGAAATATGGTTTACGAACATTAATTTATTTTCCTCCTGGGCTATAAGTCTGATGAACTTCTCTGAAAAACTCTCGTGAAATGTTCGTTTATATGAGATATCAACATCCTTAGTCGAGTTGATCTCATGCTGTATTTGTTCGCCTATGGTAATGTACTGTTGTGGTTTTGCTATCTTTATGTAATTATTAAGAGGCTTTTGAGTACGTTTCTTTGATTTGTGCGTTATTTCGATGTTCAAAGCTTCCTAATCGAGGCTTTTGTTCTCTATTTTTTTTTCCCTTAAACACAACTTTTGGAAATCATTTTCAATTTTTGTCTTGTGTGTGGAATATTGTCGTTTTTATTGTGTTTTTTTTTTCGGTATTTTCATCTGGTTGCGTTGTCATAAGTTAAGTTCAAACTCGAAAGTCTTATATTTGAGCCAGGTACTCATCAAACTGTGGAAATTTTTCTGTCACAGGATCTTCATTCAGAGCTAGAATTCATTAAGAGTCATGCAAGGAACATCCAGGAACAGAGCCAAACACTACTACCAGAAATTCCTGACGTGGAAAAAGACGCAATTAAAGAGAAGCTGGAACGATTACAACAAGACATCGCTACACTCGAAGAAGGGACACCTCTTACATCGCGCCATGTTAACAGTGAAACCCTAGGTAGAGAGGCAGCGTCTGCTTTCGTGGAAGTTGTCGTACCCAAGCCTGCTGACCAAGATGTAGCAGAAAATGGCGATTCTGATTTAGGAGATTCCGAAAGTGGTGTCTCTTCCATGGAATCTTTTGAAGGGATTTTACGCAAGGAGAACGAGCACGCCCCAGGCGAAAACGGCGTGCAAGTAAACGGCGTCTCTGACGACCATTTTGTAAACGACGAATCGGACGAAAATGCTCACCTAAATGGGGGACTATCTGTTTCACCCGACGAGTATCACCGAATTCGTTTGACTCATAGCGCAGATGCAAACCAAGATACAAACTCCTCACGTGATCTTGACGATGATTCACGTGCTACATCACGTACAACTGACGATAAATCAGGTGATGTCAGTGTCCCTGTTTTGATTGTAACTGACGAGGATGGAACTCGTGCAGAAGTGGAATTCGCCGAAAACGGGGAAGATGGCAGTCAGGATAATGAAGGATTTACTGAGCAAGCTGGTGAGTTCTTCTTTGACGATTTCGATGTTTATTACGGTGAGAGCACTCCTAAAACTGCTATTGATCCAGACAAGACGTCCACTCGCGAGGACACGAGCACTTCAGAGAACGACATCAATGTACCGAAAAGTGATAGTGTTACCACCAAGGAAAGTTCTTCGGGGGTTTCGAACGCGAGTGATACTGTCGATCATTTAACAAACGGTGATGTTTCAGAAGATGAGTCGAATGATTTAGTATTAAAAGACGAGAGTGGATCGCTCGAAAGAAGTATCGTTACAGAAGTCACGCTTCCATCTCATAAAAGCGTGACAGATAATGCGTTACCAGACAATTTTGACATTTCTGCTGATTCTGAACTTGGAGACGATATCCTGCGTCACAGCACACCCGCTGAAGTTATTGAATCCACTCCGACAGAGGGAAATACGACACCTGACCTCCAAGGCAATAAGAGTGATTCCGTGGAAGTGTTAACCAATGGTCCCGAAACTCAAGTACCTCCTCAGTTTGACGAAGTTAAAACGACAGATAGCAATTTTGATTCGTCTCATGGTTTAGACAATGTAGCAAAGAAATCTCCTAGTCCGACCAGTCAAACCGGTGTTAAAGCAGGTTTGACAAGCTCGGCGCCTAACGAAGAGATGGACAAACTCGACAGGCTCTTGAATATCGGAGAACAATCTTTAGAGAATAACTCAAGAGACGTTGAAGCGGAGAAGCCACATGACAGAATCGCGTCCATTTTATCAGAGCGTCGCAAAGCAGAGGAGGCTGAAAGGCTCCGTTTTGCTGAAAGCTCAGTCAGAGACACTGATTATGAGCTATTCACCTCCCGGCCGTTAGACCTTGTTGATAGGAGCTCCCCATTAAAGGATCTAGACGAGTCTGAAAGCCTGCTACACGAGAACATGTCTTTGGACGCATTCCTCGTAGAAGTTGAAAAATTGTTGGACAAGTTGCGTTCGATTGAGGAATTGATCACAACAGACATGGAAGATGAGGATAATGTCAAAGATGAGTTGGCTAAACACGTGGTAAGTACTGAAAACCCGGGTGGTATTAGCTAACACCATGTTTATCATTCTGTCCAAATCATTTTGATTAGGCCTGAACATGGCCTGAATGGGATATCAACTTGAACGAACTTGCCGGGGTACAGTGCAATCCATTTCCATCCTCACCATCGTTAGCCATCCTCACTTCCTAATGGGTTTTAATCACTTGTCAAGTACTGCTCTACAAAATAGATCATTATTGTTCACCTTCCAATGATCGATATATGTTTTCAAGATTTCCAAAATCATGCTAAAAATGGTGAGTGCCCCTTTAATACTTAAGCAATAGAGCAGTTTTTCTGTGTTTACATAGCCTCATCTAAACACGAGAGGGGTTCGGAGGATTCGAAACTGTGATATTTATGATATTTTTCGAGAGTTCTCCCAAACACCCCCTCCCCCTCCCCCAGTGCTTAGATGAGGCTATGTAAACACGGAAAAAGTACTCTATTGCTTTTGTAAAAGATTTCTCAAAAATGCGAGCGAGTCTGCAACGTCGCAACCGTGTTAACGTACTCTCATCTAAATACACCTATCGACCTATGAGAGAGCACGTAGTATCTCTTGTATTTTATAAAAGTATCTCAGCAATACGTTAACTTTTTTTGTTCAAAGGAATAGTTTCACACTAATATCCGGCAATATTTTTCACTTTGTTTCCTCATTATGGAAAGCACTTATTGTAGTTTCGACTTTCTGTTACGTGAGCCGTTAGAGAAGATCCCGCACTATGATGTCGATTCAAATGAGCATTCTAAGGTTTAACTGAGTTTTTCTCTCTAATGCCTTGTCACGGTACAATACATTATGGTATCAGCTGGGTTCTGCGTTTCTTCTTGAACGAGTTTCATTAACTTAACAGCAATCCCTAGGCGAGTACAGGTACCTCTTGTTTTGTGCGTGACGTGTTTGTTGTGATCAGTTTGACAAATAGATTCAATTTTGCCGTGCGTCTGTTCAGTGATTGATCACAGATGATGACAAAATGTGGTAAGAGCAAAAACGTGGCTCGCGAGGCGATAGCCGAGTGTGTCACTGATGTTCTTACCACATTTTGAAGTCCTCTGTGGTCTATTACTGAGCAGATGCACGGCAACATGGAATCTGTCCGTTTTGCTTATAACATATCTATAAGTCTGTCTTACAATAGATCAAAAGTAAGAACCATTCAAACTGCGAGGAATAATTTGACTTAGTATGTAAAAACGATTTGTTATTATGCCTTTGTTACTGCAGGCCCTGTGTGTTCTGATGTCGAAACAACAGGATCGTGTGGATCAAATGAACCTGTTGTCCCCAACTTTCCTGCACGGAAGTGCCAGTTTAAACATCATTCTCGAGGAACGGCTGCGAGAGGTGAACGCTCTTTGGAAAGAGGTCCAAACGCGAGCTTCGTCTAAACAAGAAGTCCTTGAGCGCTGCGTTCAGGAACAAACACAAAACCTGGAAAGCACTCGACAGCAAGAGGTCATGGCGTTCACCGAGAATTTCTCTTTTTTGAGATCGCTCTACCTTACCGTGGACTGCTGCGATGATGTTTGTAAAAGAAGGAAGAGTGATGTGGTCGATGGAGATGAGGAGGAGGAGTTTTACGACGAGAAGTTAAAAAATCAGATCGAGCTTCACGAATTGTTTGAGGGATTAGCGTCAGTTGAGGAAAGCGCAGTGTCGGAAGTGGTGGTGGACAGTGATTTGACGAGGTACCAGGAGCAATTGACGCGATTACAGGTCAGTAGCTATATATGGGCTTAGTCAGCTTTGCAACCTTATTTGGGTCGTCACACCACGTTCATCTTTGCTAGTGGCGAAGAGCTTTTTTGACGAACCATTAGTTAAGTAAGTAATTAAACTTCAAGAATGTCTTTAGTTGTGTGGAGTCATGTGCGAGTGAAATCTGACGAAAGGAGGATCTCTTACCGGTGTTTACTGTTTGGGAAGTTTCCTCGCCTTCAAAGTCCACTCGACCACATGTTTTAACGAATGTAACTCAAGACATATTAGGTTAGTCAGTTTATGGTGTTCTATAGTAACTGTTTTGTGAAGCACATTGTAAACGCTCTATTTAGCAAACTGAATAAAAAGTAACATGGATGGTGATTTTTCGATGCGCCGTCAATGGCGTTATTTCCCCTCATCTTATGATACTTGTCAGAACAGTGCCCTGACGATGTTCACGTCTTTTCTTTCCATGCCGCAGGACCTCGCTACGAGTCTAACGAAATTCAAGAACAAGTTAGATGCTGTTTCGCGTCGATTGTCGTCCACTTCAGCAGAAGACGAAAATGTTCGTCAACAGGTCTCCGATCTTAAGAGTCTGATGAAAGGCATCATCAAACTAGTCCTGGCGAAACAGCAGGAATTGCGTGCGGCAGTTGAGAAGATGGTCAAGATTGAAACAGCGCTGTTAAATCGAAGAGACTTCGAAGGCAAGTTACAAGAGTGGTCACAGTTGGTGAACGATGTAGAACAGTTTGTTAAACATTTGGGACCATTCAATGAGGATGACAAAGATTTGGAGTTACTTTACTACGAGGTAAGTGTAGTTGTGGGCTATTCTTTATTTTGTGGAAATATTGGTGTAAAGCATGAAATATCTTTCCCAAACTTAAATTAATCAAGTTAAAACAAAGGAAATCATGGCCGCGAAAGGTTTTTGGATATCTGATATTAATTGGTAAATATTTTTTACGATTTTAATTCTCCGTTTTCTCCTTAGTTTTAGTTTCGATCGAAAAACACTCAAGACATTGTTTGACCAACACCTCGAAGTTCATCAAAACCTCTCCGCTGCGCGTCGTATTTTCAACTCTCTTCTCGGTGTTTGGAAATGTGGTCAGACACGGTCTTTCGTGTTTATATATTACGGAAGGCCTTGCGTCTGTGAACTGCCCATAGCTTAAAAATTTTTTACTGGATTCTGAAACACGGTGAAAACCAAAAAGAGGTGTTTTGACTTCAACAACAATCCCACGTTCTTTAGCACAGACAGATCGCCTCGTTTGGTCATGTTCTAAGTAAGCAAAATTTGTTTAATATCGTAAAAGAAGAATAAAGTCTGTGATTATGGAGAAAAGGCTGTTCAAAATATAGCCGAAGTTTGGCTTTAAACTCTGCGATAGACGAGCGCCAGTCCACTCCAGGGGCAGTCACAGCAATTCTCCTATCGCCCGTAGACCTTTTAACTCATAGGTAGATGGAGTAAAATGTTCACACGCTTGGCATGAGATTGCTTGGAGCCCTACAATCAAAACCTTATTTTACAGTGGTTTAGTGTAAAGTTTCAAGGAAATGCCGGTGTTTTTGGTCCTAAATTAAATCACTGACATTTCCTTTTTATCCACATAGTTCTTACAAAGTCATTCCGTTATCCAAGAATGCCTTCATGACTTCTTAAACAAAGAGTCGTCTAGGGGCGCCAGTCCTCACAAGAAGGCGCGTCTCGCTGACCTGAACAAACGCTGGGGCCGCATTCGAACGATCTTGCAGAGTCGAGAGCGGAAACTGAAAGCTCTAGGCGTCTTAGCGTCCGAGGTGAAGACTCCTCCAAGACAACCAGTGGTTGAATCTATTGTCCCCGAGAAAGAGAAACCGGTCTTGGCTTCAACTTCCAGAGAGGTGAAGAAACCGGAGGTTAAAGATACCCGGGTGACTTCCCCAAGGAGCAAATCCACGTCCCCCGCGCGGGAGTTAAAGACCCCCCCGAGCGGGGAAAAGAAATCCCCCAGGACAAAAAAGAAGCAGTACGAGGAGGAATTACGTGAATTCTCCGAATGGCTGACTAGTCAGGAGAAAGCGTTTCACGAACTGATTGGTGATGAGAGTTTGCCGCCCACCATGGAAGCTTTGAAGGAAAGACTTAAACATTTCCAGGTACTATAACATTGGAGCCAATGGTTGTTTACCAAATACATAGTGAAACCATTAGTGTTCATTGATGCACCATGATCCGAGTGATCTTGGATCACTGATCCTGATCCAGATCACCCCTAAGGAACGTACCCTAAATTAGCACACGGAGCTTATATACTAACTTGAACTGACGGTTCGTATTTTCTTTTAGGGATTTTGCCGTAGTATTCACAGCCACAAATCCAGAGTTGAAATGATGCGGCAGTACGCAGTACAGGGCGGAGAACGCCTTGATGCCGATGTCGTCGGTCCGAAGTACGAAGATGTTTCGAAGATTGCCGACAGTATGTACGAAGCGTGCGAAGAGAGTGCCGAATGGCTTCAGACGGTGTTGATCCAGTGGCAATCGTTCGATGAATCTTCGAGAAAGTTCATCTTGTGGATGAATAACTTAGAGCAAAAATCGTTCGTCCTTGCCAGGAAAATGCCAGAAGATCACATCGATGCAGTGTTAATGAAAATGATGAAGTACCGTGAGTTGGATCGTAAATTCACCGAGCGACAGCCGAGCAAAGATGGCTTAGTCTATGAAGCCGAGCAGGTTTTGACTGCTACAGGTGAGCAGTAATTACAGTTAATATCATTTGAACTCTTTTGGAGTCAAGGAGTCAATAGAATTCCCACGTGTTTGTCGTAATCTTAAGAATTTTTTGAACTTCTTTTGAACGTTAATTTGTTAGTAATTTTTATGAATGTTTTATCACCACGTTTTTCATTATTTTACGTTCTGCACAGTTTTTATTCTTGTTTCTAACTGACGAAGGTCTCTGAATTAATTGAAACGTCTAGGTTCGATATCTTTTAGTCAGTGTAAAATACATTTTATCTTTTTTTTTATTGTGCTTGATTACGACAACAGTATTTTTAAGTGCAATACCAATTCACACCAAATAAAGTCAGTGTTTTTTTTTTACACCCCAAAACCTTTTGAAATAATAGTTTGAAACAGCTTTCTGTTTGTGGTGTACAACACTGCAATTTTCTTTTACTAGAGAGAATCTAGCCCATCAGTCTAACTGCTCTTGTTTCGCAATGTTCCCTCTCAGGAAATGCCGATGTCCAGGCCGCTCTCGGTCAGTTTCGTGAGAAATGGCGTGGTCTTCGTCAAGAGACCCGAGGCGAGCGGCAGCGCCTTGAACGGCTACTGCAGTTATGGCGGGAATATCAAACTGGGATGGACGAGTTGGTCGACTGGCTTATGTCCATTCTTAGTCTGATGAGGAACGAGGAGATCTGCGATGACAGTTTGGATATGGTCGAAGGACAACTGGAACATCTCAGAGTAAGTTAGAACGTGTCCTGTCGATTCATGCAGTTTTTAGAGGGAAACGGTTTTGTGTTTAGGCCGTTTTGTAAAAGTGAATTTCAGAAGAATTCTGATTCTCTTTCCCAACGAAAAACTCATCTCTTTGCCTTGTTTTAATAGTCTGAATTGTTATGTCTTTGATATCACAATTTTTACAATTTTCAGGTACCCTAGATTCATACTACAGTTATCTATATTTATTTTCCTGAAAGCTCTGTGATTCATATTTTCAAACTCAACTAGATATGTGGATAAACTAATGTCCAAAACAAAAGTTTTACATCAGCTTCATCACCTCCTACCAATGCTAATCAAATTAATGTATAGCTCGTTTCGTGCATAACAACTACTATAACTAAAAATAAGAAAATTTGAAACAAGAATTTCGTAAACACACGTTATACAGATAATCCTACAACAAATTTGATTCACCCCTTCAATTCACGAGTTTGCTCACAGAGCACTTTGATCTGTTTGTGTTAATTACATATAACAAGATTTACCCTTCCGTTGTGTTCCTCTTTGAAAGGGTAAATATTACTCTTACTTGCCTCTCTTCTACCAGCATTATCAAACTGAAGTGGAGCGTCACCAGGCGATAAAAGAGAACTTGGACCGCATCGCGGCACAGTTGGAAGAATCGACACACGGAAACGCGGAAGATTTGATTGAAAGCCAGGCGAGGTTAGATGACAACTGGAGTGAGCTCTGCGCCTTACTTGAGGACCGTGAACACGAGCTCCTGGGAGCACAAACCGATCTGTTGCTTGTAAGGTGCATTGACGATATGGAGCAGCTGGAGGAGTGGTTTAATGGCGCCAGGGACACTATGGAGAGACCCATTTTGGTTCTTAGTAGTGCCTCGCTTGAGGATGCTAAGGAACAGTTGGGAAAATATAGGGTGAGTAACGTTTTACATCAAAACGACAGTATGGAACAATTATGGAATGTGAAAACTGAAAAGAACGTTTAATTTAGGGAATTACATAAGGCCACTGTAAAAGTAAAGTTTTACAGGTTTTCGGTAAAGTTTTGCACGGAGCAAAACAGGTTAAAATAAGGATTAAAATGAGCCTTTAACACGATTCAAGAACTGTAGGAATCGCGGAGTCCCGCCAGTCATTATGTTTTACCGTATACTTCGGTTCCCAACTTTTAATTTTGGCTATATACTTACTAATTCAGTTTTCGTTGAACTATGAAAACAGGCACGGAATTACCTTTTTCTGTAAACAGAGCGTAGGAAATTGTACTAAATGTGTAATCTCATTTATTTGAAGACCATCAAGAAAGATCTCCGTAGCAAGGAAGAACGTCTCGAGGCTCTAAACAAACGAGTCAACCAGTCGCTTAACGAACGGAGAAACGCTTCCGTGCGAAGCGTTACGGAGGGGGTGCGACGTCTCAACGCGCAGAAGACACAGCTCATCACTCTGTTATCAGAGAAAGAAGAGCAATTAAAGTACGCGTTGAACCGATGGGTAGACTTCCAGAAGACATACACAGAAATAAAAAATATCAATGACTGGTTTGAACAAAGAGAGGAGACACTGAGTAGATACCAGAGGATTGTGACACAGCGAGAGTTTGAGATCGCTTTGGAAGATGTGAAGGTGAGAACAGGTTATCCAACTTTGTGAAAGGCTATTTATAGATGTCTTTCTCATACAGTTTAGTAAACAAATTGTCTTGAATCAAATTTTGCCGTGTCACTTTAATTTTTCTTTGTGGCCTGCCTGTAAACTAGATACATGAAGTGCGTTCGGTGTACTTTTGTTCGTTTACTGAAGACGGTAAATAGGATTTACTTAGGATTTACTTGAGACTGGTCTTTTGCAATTTCTTCTTTATGATAAAATACGTAAGTTTCAAAACAAGTCCAAGTGCGTCTATGGTTTGAAAAGTGTTCTCAAGTGCCGTTTAGAAATCAAACTAATTTCATAGTTTAACGTTTTGAACTGTTATACTGTCGCGCAAATGATCGATACACTGTCAGCCAAGTAACTTTACGATATTTCCTTAATTTTCCTATTTATCCAGGCAATGAAAGGTTTCCTAGTAACACAACAAGAAGCTGTAGAAAACGTTGTAGTGGCGGCTCGTCGACTGCGTGGCGATGCCGCTTTTGACCAGCAAGAGGTACAAGAAACTATCGAAACTGTAGAAGAGAGATGGTCTGAACTAGTCACAAAAGTAGATGAATATGAAGCGTGGCTCGAGAGCTCCGTGCAGGCGTGCAAGCAGTACGACGCCTCAATTGGTTACATCAAGAACGTCCTCAATGACACAGAGGAGAGACTGGGGACAAGTGTTGCTGGAAACATACAAGAACTTAAGACCCAAGTCGAGCAGCTACGGGTAAGACTTATGTATAGTCTTTGGTTTAGTTTTACTTACTACATCCGTCTAGAAAACCAGTATCGGTTTACCCCGTATTCCGGTCTCATCCTACAGTTATCGTCGCGGCGTTGCTAAGCAACTGATCACATCATGATGGCATGACAACTTTCGGAGTTTTCTTGAGAGCTCGTGCTATTCTGTGATTGGATAATAAAAATCAACAAGTGCTTTACCGAAGATTTGCCAAATTAGGAAGTAAGCGGAAAGCAAGTGTTAATGTATCGCTTTGATGTTTTTCTTTCAAGTCTCTCCGCGAGGACATGAACGAGATTAGCGGAAGAATGGACGAAGTGACCGAACTAGCAACAGACTGGGCTCAAAACAGTGACCCGTCGTCCTCAACACGCCTGACCAATGAAATCACGTCGCTTTCAGAGCGGTTCGGCTCGGTCTCCACTCGGCTAATCAAGAAGGAGAAGGAACTTGAGGACATTTTAGTGAAGTGGCAGAGGTTTGAGAGTTCGTGTTCGGATATGCAAGCGTGGATTGAGAGTCAGACAGCTGTGCTGAACGAGACTGTCACAGTGGATGTACCGCTCACACTACAGCTTCAACAGCTGTCCACCTGTCAAGTAAGAACTCTGTGACGAACTATGAACTATGCATGTCCGCGTTATTGTCAGTTATTGTCAGTAATTGTCAAGTGTGTTGTATTAGTTATAAGTTATTCTTATCATATGGCTTGTGTTTGTGGCTGATATAATCGCGCTCTGATTGGCCAATTGTAGGGCATTATTCTCCCGTAATGCCCACAGGCCGATTACGGGCCCGCAAAACCAAAGCAAAAAGCCATACAATAAACAGCTCATTAACCTCGAACGTTCGGTCTTTACGGGAAAATCTCAAACCTCGACCTTGCCGTATTGACCTCGCTATCTCTCGGTCAATACGTTAAGGTCTCGGTTTGAGATTTTCGTAAAGACCTCACTCTCGGTTAATAAGTAGTTAGTAATGTATAGTCAATACATGCGGCCGGCAATCAATATTCTGGCGTCGTTGGACTTGGACAGTCGCTCGCAATATGCTCCGTTATTAAATAACCGTTTATCAAGAAACCTCCCGGTACAAACACAATGCAAATGAATGAAAAATGGAGCAGTTTTCGGTTCATTGTCAAATTGAATTTTGAGTTGCTCTGTTCTTTCGTCCATGGCTGAGCTCTGTTATTGATTCATTAAGGTCTCTTGGAAAATACGCTAGCCAATCAGAGAAAACACACTGCCTTTTAACCAGTCAGAAGCCAGTTAAATCCAAACGAAATCACATTTTCCCGCGCTCGGCAGGGATTCGCATTTCTTCGTTCTGATTGGTCCTTGCGTTGCTTGTGTTTGCTCTGATTGGTCGGAAGTATTGATTTACGTAGTGGAGGTGCAGTGGCCTCATGGTTAGTGCGCTCGTCTCCGGATCGAGCGGTCCGGGTTCGAGTCCTGGCCGGAGACATTGAGACACTTTCCCCTCACAGTGCCTTTCTCCACCCAGACGTACCAATGGGTGCAGGCGAATTTAATGCTGGGGTAACCCTGAGATGGACTAGCATCCCATCCAGGGGGGAGTAGAAATATTCCTGATCACGTCATGCTACAGAAACCGGGATAAGCTCCGACCTGATGTGCCACTTTGCTCGAATGCAGACATAACCTTACCTTTTACTGATTTACTTTGGTTTTACGGAAGGATTATTTTTCAATATAACTGATGCTTCTTACGCCTTTATCGATTCCAGCAAATGCAGCAAGATGTCGAACTTCACCGTGATTGGCTGACGTCTATCAACGTCACAGCCGACTCACTCAGAGATAAGATTCACTCTGGAGCGACTCACATCACCCCCCTAAGGAATGATGTCAATCAATCTTTCGCCTCGCTTGAAGAACAACTCCAAACAAAACGCGAACGGTAATTTCCAGTGTTCCATGTTATTAGAGTTTGAAGTCCGCGGCAGATGGATTATTTTCCATGCCACTTCTCTAGATGGTTACCTTCAGACTGCTCTCTCGTAATTCTAACTGTCTATTTCTCTAGAGTGAATTTACCTGATTAACGTTTTTCAAGATTTTTTTTTTCCACTCATTTCCGCCACATTTCTCTAACTTGTAGGATTACTTCCGCTACGCAAGGCTTTACGCAACTACAGGAGTCGATTGACCGCCTCGTTACGTGGCTTGATGACGCCGAAGTAAGAGCCACTGGCGGTGGAGATTTAGAAAACTCAGAAAAACTGGAACTCCTGCAGGTATGTTGGGCTTCCGAACTTGTATTTCGTATAGTTAGATTATTAAGTCATTTTCTTCTTGGCGATTAGTTCCTAGATTGTCAGATACATTATTTTGAGATTTTATTTTGTAAAGTGGTGTCTAACCATTGGTGCTTTTCGAAAGAACTGCTGAACAGTTTTCATTTGAATGGTCAGAGAATTCAAAGTTGTAATCACATTGTGCAAAATAATAAAGAATTACTTGAAAGTACTGCTCAATAGTTTTCATGTGAATGGTCACACACTAGTGCTTCATCCAGAGACTTAAAAGGTAGAGGCAGCTTATACAGCACAATTTACAGTACCACATGGAAGTACTGGTCAATAGCTTTCATTTGAATGGTCGGGTACTGCAGTTTGATCCACACCCGTTGAAGTCAGAACCCCCTTATACAGCAAAATGAACAATACAACATGAAAAAACTGCTCAATAGCTTGCATTTGAATGGTCATACACTGAGGTTTAATCCACGGAATTAAAAGTCAGAATCACGTTGTCTCGAGGTTGTAACACTGAGATTGAAAGTGCTGTGTGTGTAACGTTATGCCTCTCTGCCAGACCATCAATTCAAGTCTATTTTATCTAATCCTGTTAGTCGACAAAGTTTTCTCACTGAAATTTCGATCCATCTTGTGTAGGAACTTTTGCAAGATCTTGACGACTCGCATGACAGACTAGAATCCTTGAATAGCAGCGTGGACGATAAACTAAGCGCCGCGTCCCAGAAGGAATTCCAAGAAATGAAAGAACAGGTCACACAGCTCGAAGAACGCTGGGCACAGTTCAGAAAGAAACTCTCCGCGTCTATCGAGGACAACAAACGAGCGATCAGAAGGCAGAAGGAATTTGATCAAGAACATCAGAAGATTTGCGCTGTCCTGCAAACGGTCCTGCGAGGAACTGATAACACGAGTCTTGACCAGACAGACGTGGTTGTCAATCTCGAGCGTGTAGAGGTGGGTATTTGTAAAGTCCTCGAAAACGACGACACATCTTTGCGGAAACAATTTCTGAGATTTTCTTCTTGTTTTCAACGCACACGCAACATTTCCTCCGGAAATTTTCTGGACGACAAAATTCATAAACAGATTTTTTTTTTTCTTCCCAGAAACGAAGTTTGCTTCCGAAAGAAATAATGCATATACGCGGAAAATGCAATGTTGCTTCGTTTGCGGGGTTCTACATCTTCTTGTTTTTCGGAGTCGCTGAGGTGTAATGGTTTGCGCATAGGAATCCAACTGGGAGTGACTTTCAATTTTGACCTGCACTGTCTTAGAGTGGAGTGATTATCTTTCTCTTTACGTTTTACGCAGGATTTCCAGACGAACTACGAAAGTTACCGACAAGATTTCGACTCTCTTCTCCGTCAGTCGGAAGATCTCGATCAGGATGCAAGCACGGCCAGCAGGTACAAGTCACGCCTTGATGACAACATGTCACGCGTACGACATCTCTGGAGCTCCGTGCTGAAGCGAGCAGATGATTACAAAGAGCAGGTTGGACGACAGATAGAGAGGTTCAAAGAGTTCCAAGGACTGAGCACAGAGCTAATGAAGTGGATGGACGGAATCGAGACTCACAGTGGATTTACGGTTCCTTCTTCAGCCAGTATTCAACAAATGAAAGTTCACTTTGAACACGTGAAGGTAACGATGTCGCTAAATTGTATTGTACTCTCGTAACCACCCAAGAGTATCGGTATTGCCAAATAACAGAGACGAATTGAAAAAGGTGATTGGGGGAGGGGGGGGGNAGGGGGCTTGCGATGGACTGGCATTTCATCTAGGAGTACTGTGAATATTCGTGATCACGGCAAGCAACAGAAATTCTAGTCAGACACTAATACGAGGCTTACGCAGGTACGGAGGTCGAAGCAAATTCATGTCAAAGCATGCATGAAAAAGGGATGTGTCAAAGAATATAGCTGCAATATTTTTGCAGTTGTCAATGTCATTTCTCCCATGGATACAAGCAATTCAATTGCTTTAAACAAATGGATTCTTTTTCTTTACATACACAAGATACAAAATACAAACATAGATATAGTAACATTTTATTATCTTCATTATCGCACACTTTCCTAAGACATTGTGGCTCATGGCACCGACGCATTCCTGGTCCATCGCAGGGATATCCGCGAACAATAATTTCGCTGGTACCCATTTTTACACCTGGGTGGGGAGAGGCACTGTGAGGGAAAAGTGTCTTGCCTGAGAACACAACACAATGTCCCCGGCCAGGGCTTGAACCCGCTCGATCCAGAGTCTAGCCATATATACTCACAACTGCATTTGTAACCTCCAATAACAGGTTATCTTTCATAGGCAGACACATTTTTTAGGTCTCAAGCATGCTCGCTTACGGGAGATTGGCTGCATTAACAATATTGAAATCAAGTTTTAATATCATAGTAGTTCTTCGCCACACATGCTTGAATAGTAAGATGAAGTTGGACATATTTATTTCGGTGAAACTTGTCATACAGCAAGCAGTGCTTTGCAATAAGCCATGAACTTATTTCCGTTCCTTCAGATGTGTCAGAAAGATATCAACACCCATAGACAAGGGTACAACGCCTTCTGTTCTACTGGTCAGCGGATCATCGAAGATTGTACGGGAAGTCTAAGTAGCCAGGCCGCCATGGAACTCGACAGGGTGTCGAGGCGGTGGATAATGATCACAAACCGTGTGACAAGCAACCAACAACAGCTTGAGCTGTCATTGAAAGATTGGCAGGAGTACACGTCACTCACCGAGAATCTGATGGTGTGGCTGAGAGAGAAAGAGAAACTACTCCGAGCTCAGTCCAAGGCCGTCACGGTCCGTGAGGTTGAGCGTGAACTGGACGCCATGAAGGTACTTCATGAAACTGCATAAGTACTTGGTCTATTTGTTGTTTGTTTGTTTGTTTTGTCGCACTTGGGGATGTCCAAAAACTATACTAGCCATCCCTTTAGAACGCAATGTATATAAACAACAGCCTCCATTTGGCTCGAAAATATGCTCGGATATTTGTCCGCGGACATTACCTGTTCCGAGAAGCGAACAGTTTACCGAGTGCGTAGCTCGAGGAAAACTGTGAGCTTTGAGGAAATATTTGATGAATTCTAAAACGAGACATTTTTAGATAAATGACATTTCGAGAGACTTATTGAGGACTCCTGTTTCAACAGGCCAGTGCAAAAGAGATTGACGACCGCAAACCCCAGCTGGATAAAATCACCAGGAGAGCTGACGAACTTTCAAAATCAGCCGATCAATACGACTCCGAACGCATCAAGAAACAGGTATCTTCAATGAGCACACTGTGGAGCAATGTTTGTCGTCTCCTCTCAACTTCCATGCAGTCGTTGGCGGATATTGTGAGACATTTTGAGCAATTCAGTCGATTACACGAGACACTCTCCCATTGGCTGGTGACCATAGAATCGTCGGTATCACGTGAACTTGAGGAGTCGTTTCTTAGTATCCCGGATGATCAAGGAGATACAGTATTTCAGGTTTGACTGTTTGTTTGTTTGTTTGTTTGTTTGTTTGTTTGTTTGTTTGGCTGGTTGGTTGTTTGATGGCAATTGTTTCCATTTCCCCCTTTTGGGACTATGCCTTAAAAGACCTACGTCGCGGTTTGCGCATCTTGAAAAGTTCAACTTAAATTTTTCAAGTTCGTCGTTTGCAATCGGTGTTAATCTTTTCCATCCTTAACCATCCTTGCTCCTTGATGGTTTATTATTACCTCTTTGGAGTTTTTCTATCTTAGTAAACTACGATTTTCATGTTTCCTTCAATTTAAAGGTAATTTTGTACGGGGCCAAAATAACTCAAGATACTGTGACTTAGCTCCTTTAAGTCAAATATTTTCCTCATAACACGCTACGTTTACCGGTTTTAATGTTCGTTAAATTCCTTTTCTTGAGTGCTAAGCTTTAAAAATTATTAACTTTTACAAACCTCTCGTACTCATTCCAAAGCTCTTCAGTGTTCAGAAGCGGTTTCTCTTCTGCTTCCTGTCCATCTTGTTGGAGTTCCAAACGATTATTACTGTAATTTTTGTCTATACAGGTTTACGTCGCTGACATTGAAGGTCACGAGGGCACAAGGTCAACCATGAACGAATGCGCCTATTACGTCATCAGTAAGGCGGGCGGTACACCATATGCAGGCGCGGTTGCTGAGAAACAGAAGCATTTGAATGACCGCTGGCGCGCTTTGTGTCAGCAGTTGGGTATTACGTACAAGAAAGCGGAAGAGACTAGGTACGGGTTGAAGTTGTTGGAGATTCAACTGAAACAGCTCAACACTTGGATGACTGAAGTGGAGAGTCGATTGATGGGATTCACGGTGACTGGCTCATGTGTTCTTACGGAAATTCAGAAAAAAGCCAAAGAAATGAAGGTACTGTTTGTGCGTAAGTTATTTTTGACAATATCGTGTTAGTGCACGTGCGACCTGAACCAAGAACCCTCCTCCTCCCCCGCAGGATTAGGGATGAGTCGTTCCTTATAGAATCTCCCTAAGAGACAGGACATTAGTTTTTGTGAGAACGGAGGAGGAGGGGGGAGTTGGCAATTTTCTGGGGCATGAAATTTTTTTCATCAAAGACATCAAAACATCAAAAATAGGACCTGGATAGAAGAAAGCCCTTGCTCGATTTTTAATTCCTCGTGGCTCCCTTTGCAAGATTTTTTCCCTGCTGTTTTGGCTGTGCAGGACTTTTTTAGAAATTGCTAAACCCCCCCCCCCCGTCCCTAATCCTTACTCATCATCGTCATTATCATCATCGTCGTCATCATCATCATCATCTATGTATAAAAACACGGTAAATACATCAGGCATTATCAATTTGATATAAAAGCTACAACTTATTACAAAAGACTATGTATACAGATTAATCTACTATAATTTAAAATATTGCTAACTATTAAAGAAAAGTAAACTAAATTAAAGCCTGTTTTACATGAATGCCGTGTCGGAATTAATTAACAATCGTCGAAAATTAGTCAGAGGTGTTGCTTGCCTAGCAGCTGAGGATAGACTGTTCCAGAGGACTGCACCACTATAGCCAAAGTTATTTTTGTATTGGTTAGTACGTGGCAAGAGAATAGCAAGCTTATTATCAGAATCGCGCAAATCCCTCTCACTCTGCGCTGCTGTGGCGGCCATTTGCCCTTATCTTTTGTACCAAGGATATATTAATTGACAAATTGATTATTTGTTGGAATTATTAGAATACTGAGACAGATGTTGAAAGCCATGCCACTGACGTCCAAACCGTTCTTCGACTTTGCGAGGTATTCAGTCATTGATAAATGTATAAATAATTGTAAGTCATAAATTAGTCAGTTGCGTTCACTGTCTCGAAAATGATGGATTCTGGGTTCTCTAGAGCTAGTAAGAAACATTAACCGCTGTTAATTATGCAGAGGTTACATGTAATTATTTACCATGTCAAATTTTAGCTTCAGAGAAGCATGACTTCTGAGTATGCTTGGTCAAAACTTCACGTGAACCTGTCAACCTCTGTTCATGCTGACGAAAGTCGATCCGCCTTGCTTTTGTTGCCCGGAGGCGGAAAAAATGCTGCCGAAGAAAAAAAGTAAAATTGCTTTTACTTGTGTGCACTTGCGAACTGACTTGCGAGAGTGTCTGGCCACCGAACAAAGTTCACGCATGCATAGATTCTTTCACCGACTCACGTAAGGCTTAAGCTCAAAACGTCAGCTTCGCAAATTCGCTACGGCGGTCATTAACCTTTGTTAACTTCAAGCTGATAAACAGCTATGTATTTCACTTACACGCCGACTTAACCTAACAGTTTCTTTGGAAACTAATACAATTGTTTGAATAGGACTTCGTTTAAACAGCTGCTCTTAGCTTGAGCGTTTGCACGCATGCGCTACAAGCTATCAATCAAACTTACATATGTATCTTTGAATCTTTCTTAGAAACTTCGCCGGGATCGTATGGCGTGTCCCTCAGAAGACGACCGTCAAAGCCTGCAGAGGACTAAGGAGAGTTTTGAAAACCGCTGGACAAATGTCCGGCGCACTGTATCGACGAAGAGGAGACAAGCGGAGGAGAGGTTGCTTCTGTGCAAAGAGTTTTGGAACGAGTACGAGAAGTTTGCGGAGTGGATTCATGAGACGGAAAACGCCGTGAAGAAATCTGAAGAAGGAATGACGTCTGGATTAGAGATCTCTAAGAGTAGATTAAAGCGGTTTGAGGTGAGGCGTAAGAATAGTTTTAGTGCTCCTTACAAACATCTTTATGAGTGACGGCCCATTATCTTTTTCTAGGATGGGGGGTGGGCAGTTTTCTGGGGCATGAAATTTTTTCCTCGCCTTTAGGTTGTGCATGAGTTTTTTTGGTAGACAATAACTTGTGCAAGAATTTTTTAAAGTCAAACACAGGTCCTGGATAGTGGGAAGCACTTGCTCGATTCTCCCCATGGCATCCTCTCACACGATTTTTTTTTTCCTGCCTTTGTTGCTGTGCAGGAACTTTTTCTGGAAATTGCCCAACTCCCTTCCCCCCTCTCCCTCAAAAAATTAAATGTCCGTCCCTCATTACGTTTGTGGCATAATGACACACCTTTGCTTGGCTCGTCACGTAATCTCGTCTCCCACCACTAAGAACGATTGCCTGACCACCCTCGGAAAAGGAAGAAGGCACTTTTCATACAAAAGGGAGCGATCGCGTAACCAACTCAAAGAGTAGTCGTTAGGAATTAGAATGGTAGAGTTAAGTTGGAATTAAAATTTGCGGTTATGTGTAAACTGGAAACATTTGGGCTTTTTCAAGTCATTTCTTGAAGTAGAGTTTCACTTATCTGCGATTTTCACAACTTTTTCATTAATTCTGTTTTGTTGTCTTTGTCCAGGTATTCCTCAAAGATATCAACTCCCATCGCCCGCAGATGGAACGTATTGTAAAACGAAGTAAATACCTACTTCTCGAAGCCAATGCAAGTAGCGCGTCCGATATGAGACTTGGCGTGGAGTCCGCACAGGCTCGCTGGGAGAAGCTTTGTAGCCGCGTTGAAAGCCTGGTCAACCGACACAGCAAGCTGACAGACAGAGCGGAGAAATTCGAGGGTCTCCGTCAAGAGGTCTACAGCTTTCTTACAGAGACGGAACTCAAGTTGATTGCACTCGATCCTTACACGTCCGAGGAGGAGCCGCGCGTTCAGCTAGAAAAACTTAAGGTACGAAGGTTGTTTTAACGTTAGAATCACATTGAAAGTCAATAGCCATAAGTTAAAGGTTGTTAGACAAGATTTGATTCACTGTTGGTGTTTACGTCCATGGGAAGAATTCCTGGTGTGTAACCATTCAAATGAAAGCTATCGGAGCAGTACTATCATGTGGTACTGTTTATTATACTGTGCAAGGTGGTTCTAACTTTTAAGTCTGTGGATGAAACCGTAGTGTGTGACCATTCAAATAAAAGCTACTGTGCAGCAATTTTACGTGGTAATGTCTATTATGCTGTACAAGGTAGTTTGAACCTTTTTAGTCTGTGAATGAGATCATAGTGTGCGACTCTTCATATAAAATCTATTAAGCAGTAATTCCATTTGGTACAGCTTACAACACGCACGACGGCCTAATGGTTAATGCTTTGGGATCCTGATCGAGCGGTCTGGGTTTTTACACTGCGTCTCTTTGGGCTCGTGACGCAATCTTCCTCCAAGATTCTTCTTCCAAGATTGCGTGATGATCCCAAAGAGCGTCAGTGTGGGAGGCTACCTCTTTCCACCCAGGTGTGTCAATACTCTAGTCACTTCAAGGCAGTACGTAATTTAATTGAAAAAAAGAAACGTTTTACGTTAACGGTAATTAAGTCCGCTTTTGAAGAGCTGCTTAAAATGTATTTGTAATTTCCTGTAGGGTCTGCAGAGACTAATCAACATGAACTATTCCAAGCTGAAATCTTTGCTCCAAGAAGGAAAATCTATGCGAGAGTATTGTTCCCCAACAGAGTTTCAGTCTGTGCAGCAGACGATGGACGAGCTCAACTCCAGATGGCAACAGGTAACTTTGTTTTCAAAGCAAACATGCCTTTTGGGAAGCACGTCTGGTGAAAATAATTCTTGTGTGCCTGGAAGTCTTACTCATATAAACTTGCAACTCCACGTTAGAATAAAGATGTAATCCCAAGGTTAGGAAACGTTCAAATTCTAAGCTGCTTTATCCGATTTTGATGGTTTTTTCCTTCAAGTTAAATATCTTCAAAAAACGGAGTGGACCAGTTTATATTTCTTGTTTCCATTTTCTTGTTTCTTCTCGTGAATACCTAAAAAGTAAAAGGGAAGAGGAGATTGATTTGGATAGTATATCCTATGTATTGATATGTGAGGTAGTTGTTCTCTCGTACAACGTTTTTAACTCTTCTGGTTGTTGTTTGTGTCCAGGCCCTTCACTGTTGCATGACGTGGATCCTGGATCTAGCGATTCCCAGTCCTCGCACCAGTCCCTCCTCCTCCGCCTCCGCGTCCGCCGCAGCTGGTGCTAATTCTTCTCTGAGTTGACGAATTCCACCGTCGTAGGTTAGTTTTTTTTTTGCGTAAGATCTGTTAGTGTAAATGGTGTCCTGTTTGGTGTCTGCCTGACTGGTACGATTTGCTTTGTTGTAGCGGGATGTTCCACTCCTTTGAAGCCCAGGATACCTATAGGCAATTTGGTGTGGATTTTTTAAACTATGTTCTTTCAGGGAATTAAATAATGTAGCTGGAAGTATTCTTCAGTTCATGCACATGATCTCTGAGTGTCAAGTGATAATGATTCTTTTCTTTATTTTCATGTTTTTAGGTTCATAAACACCGATCAAAGTATTGTGTATACAAGTGACCTCTTTGTAAAGAGTATTTATGAGTAATATATTTTACCACTTAGGACCTTATACATAAGGAAGAATAGTTGTTGTTACTTTCTAATTTGTAAAATCAGATACGCGGAAGTTGTACGTGTACACATATACCTTGTCACAAAAAGCGTTTACGGTCACGCACGCGTGTCACGCATTGTAGTGGTAATCTTACACGACTTGTACTTTCTGTCCTTCATTGTACGCGTGACATTCTCGACAAGTTTGGAAGTAAAAGTATTATTTGTAAAAATCGTTGTATTATCGTACGTCAAAAACGAATAAATTACAAGAAAGCATAAGTTGTAAGAAAAATGTAGAGACCTAGTAGTTTGTAGCAAAGAAGCTGTTGTAAAAAAAAGTCGATTCACTGCTTACCCAGGTTTAATTTCAGCTTAAACTGAAATGCGATTGGGAGCTTTATAGCTCTATAGTTGTAATAGTTATCAAGTCCTATTAGGAACTAAGTTGTACAGTAGAAAAAGAAACAACCTTTCGCAATCGCCTTTATATTTCTGAGACGTACATATTACCATACTTTTCCCTTTTATGTTAATCGTTTCCTATTTAATATTTATTCTTCCCTTCAGTCTAAAAATACTCTTGGACAACACATATATACTGATGTAACTCCCTAAAGAGAACCTATTTCGACTGTAAATATTATAGACCCTAACAGTAAGAGTTTTTTTCTTGCACAAGGTAAATAAGATTAAATATTTTTAAAGGACTGTATACCCTTTATTTCTACTTTCCCACAAAAATGTAAGTTAATTGTCAAAGGAATGCAAGCTATTTTTATACAATCGTTAGAAAATTGTTGACTCAAAATAAATACATTTATATCGAAGGGTCTGTTTGTTCATTAAACAGGCGCAAAAAACAACGCTTTGTGTCATTCATTGTCTCGAAAACCAACACCTTGGACTTGTTCCTAACGTTCTTTTTGCCTCTTGTCCACGCGACTTTGGTGACGTTAACACAAGAATATGGAAGGAATCTGCTGCACTCCTGAGGCCCAAATGGCCTCGTTCGATATATCAATATTCTAACATGGCTCTGAGGCTTTCGGGTCAAAATTGCCAATTTTTAAAGTTTCTTTTGGCCCTTTCAATTCCCTCAAAAGAGACTTGGATACAAAGAAAAAAACACCAAATGTAGGTTGTTCTGAAGGTCTCGGAGCCATGTTAGAATATTGTTATATCGAATGTGGCCTATTAGGGGGGTTCCGAATATCCCGCATCCCGTTAATTTTTGGTCTAAATGTCCCGTAAAAGATTTTACTTCTCTGTTATCCCATTACGTTTTCTCCAAATATCCTGTATCTATCCCGTTTTTTTTTCACATACCGATATACCCCAATAGGGCCTCATTCCCGTGTAAGGATTCTTCGCATGCATAATGTAAGGTTCCTGTGCAAGGATTCTTCGCATACCTATTGTAAGATTCCTGTGAAAGGCCTTTCTGGGAAGTCGCTGGTTAATTAATTTTGGCTACGAAAGACGGGCATAAAACAGTGAATTGACGGTGGTTTTGGTAGTGTTTATTTTGGAAAGACGGGTTTCAACAACGCTATACGGATTCAAGACACACCATTTATTCCTTTTTTACGGTCCTGGCGTGTAGACCTTGGAGACTCAAGCAATTGTGACAAGCTGTTTTTGCGTTTAATTTTGTTTGTATAGGAGCAAATCGTCACGCCACTTGTATTAAAGCTTGGAAGCAACGAATGTTGTGTCAGATCAGGCCAAACTAGAATTTGAAATTTGTATTGATACCATGTAATTTGTAATTTGTAATTTTTGTAATAATCAATTTTGCAAGCTTAAAATGATGAAGTGACGGCAGTTTGGGCTATGGATTTTAGGGTCCGTCCACACTGCGCCGATTGAATTTGAAAACGGAGGTTTCACCCTGAAAACGCATCAAATGTTTTCCGTTCACACTTAGCCAGAGAAATTTGATAACGCAACAATCTCCGGTCATTTTAGATTTCTGTTTGAGGGAAACTCTTTCAGGGAAATCACATGATTGTCGTGACGCCAACGTTTTCGAGACCAAAGCTCGTTTTCGTGACGGATTAGTGTGGACGGTAGGCCTAACCGTAGAAATAAAGCTGCATTTTCAAATTTCTCCGGCATGGTGTGGACGAGTCCTTAGACAGGTTTCACTCACGCTATTCGGCTTTTTTACAGGGGCTGGCATCAGACAAATCTAGGGATCACAATGAGCCGACTAAAAACTAACGCATTTTCTGCGAATAAGCAAACAAGTATAAACCATAGAAATTAATTGTATGATATGATCAATATCTCACTGTATATATCCACATCAGATCTACGGCCCCGCAAATGATCCCTGTACCGCAAATGATCCCCAAATTGTACCGCAAATGATCCCGGGACCGGAAATGATCCCTAGATTGTACCTTAGACTGAATGATGCCGGACCGGAAATGGTCGTCTTGCCATAAAATTTGGATATGTGAGGACTCGGGAATTTGGACAGTGCATTTTAAAGTCATGCAATCGCTTTTTCATGACTGTGAAATTCAGAAAACCGTGAACATTTGTATTTGATTCCAAAAGGTTAATTTGGTACTGAACCAATCACTATAAAGTTCAGGACACGCGAGAAAACCTCAAAACCACAACCAACAGGCCACGTTCGATATATCAATATTCTAACATCGATCCGAGGCTTTCGGGGCAAAATTGCAATTTTTTTATTTCCTTTGTCTTTCAATTCCCAAAAGAGACTTGGATACAAAGAAAACACAACCAAACGTAGAAGTTTGTCCTGAAAGCCTCAGAGCCATGTTAGAACGTCGATATATCGAACGTGGCCTATTACCGCTGGTGTTTACGGTTTAGTTTTCTCACGATTAATTGGCTTTTCCTTGCTACAAAATAAAAATCCTTAAATATTTCTGGTATTCACGGTTTTCTGAGTTTTACAGTAATAATACAATATTTTGATAAACAGTTGCTATGTGAAACGCAAGAGAATGTGCAGTATGAACGATTTGAATGCAATTTTCACAACTTTAAAATGATATCCAACGTCACGAAATCCTGTGTTTGAAATCTTTAGTTTTTAGCTCTTATTAACCGAGCAGGAGGTCTGTATGGGAGAATCTTGACCGAGGTCGTGAGTACAGACCGAACGCAGTGAGGTCTGTGCACACGACCGAGGTCAAGATTCTCCCGTACAGAACGACTTAGCGCGGTTAATAAGATGTTTATTGTGTGGCAAAGAAGAAAACTTTAATTCGTTTAATGTAACTGGTTTGCTGACATTTTGCTTGCAAACGGAAATGAGCTTAACTTAAACCTGCTAAAATCGCCGACAACAACCGCTAGCTTGCCTGCGAAGTTGAACGCACTTCCATAAATGATTGAGAGGAAAATAAAAGAAAACGGTGAACATTTCTGATTTGCTACTTTTTCAACGCAAAATGAAACCGGTTTAGATGTCGGTCTAGATGGGAAAATCTAGACCGCGGTCAATATCGATTCCAGCCAATCAAATTCGTGAATTCGGTAGTTCGCAGTTCTCGTGGGACACAGCCATATGATAAAGCTAGATCCTTCCCTGAATGACTTAATTGGGTCCGGACCTGAGATGTATGATAACACAGGATGTTCACTATATCCTCAAATTTGGAGACAACTGAGCATTCCCAAGTGGATTGACTTCATTTTTACTACGGTACAATTTGGGGATCATTTACGGTACGGGGATCATTTGCGGGCCGGGATCATTTGCGGGCCGGGATCATTTGCGGGCCGGGATCATTTGCGGGGCCGTAGATGAACTCGGTATCGACGAGGAGAAGGCCCTGAGGACCAATCTCGAGGCGGCGGAAGAATTCAAAATGGCGGCGGACGAAATTCAGTCACTTCACTCTTTTACGTGTGATTTCCTTGCTTAGGTTTAAGGACCTCTTTCTTATGAACATTCAGACACTATTCTGTGAAGAAAAGTGAAAGAAAAGCAGAATTCGAGTGATGAAGAGGTAAGCTGACATAGCTGTCCGATTTGATTATTCATGTAAGCTTACTGTGATAATGTCTAAGCTTATATTTCGCCAAGGCTAAAAGCGAAGCTCAGGGCCGGGTTGTTTAAAGCCCGATTAAGCTAACCCAGGTAAAGCGAGAATTTTGATTTGAGTTTTGTAGCTTTGGGCCAAGTCGCACTGGAGGGCAATTTCAAATTTGTTCTGGACAAATCCGACTTGAAATCGGCCAGTGACAAAATATTTGTCCGGAAAGCTACAGTCGCACTTGAGAACAAAATCTGCGATCATTAAACATGTAAGCACCTGGCAAAGGATAAATCCATCTTGGTGGATATTGTGGAAATTCGTAGGGGAAAAATTGGTCGCCAGCGCTGGGATTCATGTTGTTGCGAAATGAGAACGTGATTAATTTTACCGCGAAGTCCATCGCATAGAGACTCTGCTACATATCACCTGTCAAATCATTTCCGAATCAAAACACCCTCGCTTTTGTTTTCCAAGAATTGTCTCAATTTGGCCTGCTCCAGAGGTAGTCGACGGCATCTTTGAAGTTTGTCCGTCTACAACCAAATTTTGTCCTTTGGGGAACAAACCGGTCGCACTTGGTTTTTCATTGTGATGACGGATTCTTGACATAAGTAAACAGTTTTTTCCTCTAGTGCGACTTGGCCCTTTGCCGTGAGGTTTTCTGTTTTTGTTGTTTGGCCATCTGTTTTGAGTTTGAATAATCTCAAATCTACACACAGAACATAAGCAGTGAAAAACATTTGTATACAAGAAAAAAATTATACTTCGGTTAACTTTTAATCCTGGGTTAGCGTTAACCGCCTTCCGAACCACCCGGCCATGATCATTAAAGCCTGGTTCTCATATCCCGGCGACCTACCAGTGACATAGTCGCCGGTTGCAACTAATAATGTTTGGCGATCTGTTCCAGTGGATCCCCGGCGCATCTGCAATGGATCGCCCACATACTCAAATTGGCGCGAAATGCTTCATCCGCCATTTTGAAAGTCAGGACTTGTGGGAAAAATCGAGTTGTTACGTCATACATTTGCGTCTGCAGATATCCACAGATGATGTTCACATTAAATACTTCTATCGCCGACAACAACTGCTAGCTTGCCTGCAAAGTTGAATGCAGCTCAACTGCGCAGGCAAGCCGGCGGTCAATGCCTGGGAAAGATAATGATTTGGCGATAAATGTTCACATATGCCGTAATGGTGTCCCAGGCCGTTCTGCCGGCTATGTCCCAGGTATGTCGGCGGCATATAAGAACCAGGCTTAAATCTGTTACCTCAAAAGTGTTCTGTAATTGTGTTTGTTCAGGTTAGACTAGCATCATTAAAATTTATGTTTGCCAAAAATTTCTGGGTGGGTAGTCCATTCAAGTAGTCCATGGACCTGGTCCTTCAGTGTAGTCCATGGACTAGGGGTCAGCAAAATGTGCCATTACACGGTCATAAATATGGACTGTGGACTGCGGACTATGGACTTAGTTATAAAATGCAGACTAAACATTACAGACTGTGTATAAAACACGTGTATAAAGCACTTACAAATTTCAGACGGTTATTCCTTGAAATGAATCAGAATTTGTTACCTCTGGTTTAAGGTGACCGAACACAGTTTTCAAGTGCCAATGCTTAATTCACCATTACTTTTAAAAACAGGCACCTGTTTTTTCCAAGAGTCAAGGTTAACCACAGAAGGGTTTTTTCTCACATTTTGGCTAAGGTGTGTGCTGTTGCCATGGCATCATGGCTGGTTAAAAACAAGGCTTAAAAAATGGTTTTTGTTTGTTTTAAAAAAATCCAGTCATGAGAATTTTTTTAATCCTTTGCCCACTACGAATTGACATTAA